TTGATTAATTTTAACCTTAACTGTTTTTACTTGAAGAAATTCTAGGAATGTTATTGGTTTACAATTTCTTCATCCCTACACATATTTCTTTAAGCACAGTAAACGGCTACTCCATATTCTGTTTACTAATCCCATTATCTAAATTACTTCAGGATATGGCATTCTCACATTATTACTCACATGTGGTACCATATTTCCTTGTTTGACTATTAATTTTGTGAGCTGCTCACACTTTCCTTTTAAGATAATTTGAGTAAGTTATTCAAGGTCTAGGATAAAAGTAAATGTCCTCACAAAGGAGCTATATTGACTTCTGCTAGGTTTCTGGGAAATTAACAGGTCACAATCACGTTAAATTCATGATTAGTGTTTAGTCATTTAGAATTAGTCTGGGTGGCTCAGTTTACATTAGTCATTATGAATTTGGGACGTCTGGGTGGCTCAATGGTTGAGAGTCTGTCTTTGGCTTTAGGGCATGACCCCGGGTCCTGGGGTTGAGTCCCACATCAGGCCTCCCACAGGAAGCCTGTCTCTCCCTCTGCCTATGTCTCTGCCTCTCTCTGTGTGTCTCTCATGAATAAATAAACACATAAATAAATTTTTAAAAATAGATACTAAGAATTTAAGTTGCATGATTGTAAGTTCTAGGTCATGTTTTTTTTTTCTTTCTATTCTGTTCAGCACAACTAGGGAAATTCTTTTACAGTCCTTAGAGGAGCAAGTGAGAAAGCAAGTTAAGTCCTCTTTCACTGAGGATCTATTTCTTTTAGGCACCAATAGAAGATGTGCTGGAATCCCCAGCTTTGGCTGAGCCCCAGGTTTGTGTCTTCCCCCCCTTCATTTGGGGGTGTTCTGCAAAGTTGACTCCCAAATTCCCCAAATTCCCAAATGGTCTCTAGGACAACACTGGTTTCAATATGCCACACTTCTTTATGGTTTTTCTTCTGATAGTAACTTACCTGGCCAATCTTTAAGAATTTCAAGTAGATGTTTTCTCATCTATTTAAAGGCCATCTGAGTTGTTCTCAGCAGTAAGAACATGGCAGAAACAGAAAGCCTATACTCAGTCTCGTGCAGTTCAATAGAACTTCTGGATCCAGCAAAAAATCCTTTTGCAAAGTCAGAAAAGATCACCAACTAGGACACCTGGGTGGCTCAGTGGTTAAGCGTCTGTCTTCAGCTCAGGTCATGACCCCAGATCCTGAGATTGAGTCCCACATCAGTCTCCCCACAGGGAGCTCTCCCTCTGCCTATGCCTCTGCCTCTCCCTCTCTGTGTCTCTCATGAATAAATACATAAAATCTTAAAAAAAAAAATCAACCACTGTATTGATTTGGCATTCTTGTTATTTGTATATTATTCAGTCTGTCCAGTTCTTGACACATCTGATCATTCTTTTCCCTAAAGTCAGTTTTTAGCTTCCACAGCATCATTTTCTATTAAAACTCCTAAATGATGATTCCTTGGGGCTCAGCTCTGGGTTTTATTTCAACATTTCTTCTGCTACCAAGTTACCTTAAGTTACCAATACCTATCTTCTAGACTACTTTTTAATAACCTCCCAAGTGGATTTCTTCTGGTACTCTTGTACCTTTCTATCTAGTCCATTTTCTTTTCTTTTCTTTTTTAATATTTTATTTATTTATTCATGAGAGACATAGGCAGAGGGAGAAGCAGGCTCCCCACAGGGAGCTTGATGCAGGAACCGATGCTGGGATCTCGCCCTGAGCCAAAGGCAGACGCTCAACTGCTGAGCCACCCAGGAGTCCCTCTAGTCCATTTTCTATCACAATAACCAGAGTTATCTTTTAAAATAAAAATTAGGTGGCTCAGTCAGTTAAGCATCTAATTCTTGGTTTCAGCTCAGGTCATGATCTCAGGGTCATGACCCCACGTCGGGCTCCACACTAAGCACAAAGTCTGCTGGAGATTCTCTCTCCTCCTCTCTGCTCCTCCCCCTGCTTGCTCTCTCTAAAATAAAATCGTTTAAAAAAGAAAAAGAAAAATTAGATTATGTCCTTTTGCCTCTGTAATACTCTCCAAGGTACTTTACTTGAACTTTAGATAAATTCCAAACTATTTAACATGGCCCACAAAACCATATATGATCAGACTTCTGTCTATATATTGCCATAACTGTCCTCTTCTATAATACTATAAACAAATGGACTTGTTTTCAGTTTTTCACATATACCAAATTATTTCCTCCCTCAGATCCTTGACACTTGCCATTTCCTTTTCCTACAACATGGTTTACCTGGTCTTTGCAGGGTTTAATCTTATGCATACATCAGATTTCACTGTAACTATGACTTTCTTTTATTTATTTATTTATTTATTTATTTTTATTTATTTATGATAGGCACACAGTGAGAGAGAGAGAGAGAGAGAGAGAGAGAGAGAGAGAGAGGCAGAGACATAGGCAGAGGGAGAAGCAGGCTCCATGCACCGGGAGCCCGACGTGGGATTCGATCCCGGGTCTCCAGGATCGCGCCCTGGGCCAAAGGCAGGCGCCAAACCGCTGCGCCACCCAGGGATCCCGTAACTATGACTTTCTCAGAAGTATTCATTCCCTGACAATCCAACCCAGTAGCATCCTGTTCTTTTCCTTTAGCATGTTTCTCATAGGGGTGCCTGGGTGGCTCAGTTGGTTAAGTGTCTATCTTCAGCTCAGGTCATGATCCCAGGGTCCTGGGATGAAGCCCCATGTTAAGCTGCCTGCTTGTGGACAGCGTGCTTCTCTCTCTCCTCCCTGCTCCCGTTCTCTCTCACTCTCTCTCAAATAAATAAATAAAATTTTTTTAAATTCTTTAAAATTTTTGATAATTTATGATTATTTAATGTGGGTTTATTTCAATGTCTGTCCTCCCAATGATTTGTGAAAACCAGGCATGTAGAGACCCTACTGTTATCTTCCCATTCCATACATAGCACCTAGCACAATGTATGGCCCACAGCAGGAGTTTAACAAGTATATATTATATCATTGTCTTCTTTCCCTTTAAGCAGACCCACAGGAAAAGTACAACTGTAATCAGAAATTACATGTTGAACAAAATTAGAAACAAGGGGAATAAGTCAGGTGATAAGAATGTACATACAGGCTAAAATACAATATACAGGGATCCCTGAGTGGCTCAGCGCCTTTTGGCCCAGGGCGTGATCCTGGAGTTCCGGGATCGAGTCCCACATCAGGTTCCCTGCGTGGAGCCTGCTTCTCCCTCTGCCTGTGTCTCTGCCTCTCTCTGTGTGTCTCTCATGAATAAATAAATAAAATATTTTTTAAAATAAAAAATAAAATAAATAAAGTACAACATGCTTATGAAAGAGCCATAATGCTTACAGACATATAGCCAAGATTTCTTTCCCCTAATATTTCATTGATAAGTTGGTAGATGCTGGTTTTTAATTAACTCAATATATGGCTTTTCATTATTGTTGTCTACACTTTAGTGAAAGCAAATAAATAATCACCTACAAATGTTTCTCAAGATGGCCTGAAAGTTATTAGGAACTCAAAGAATTTCCCCACAGAAGCAATATTATCAACAGTGGTTAGATTTTCTTTGGTTAGTTCATAATGTTTAATCCATAATCCATTTATCCATTTAACAAATATGAACTAAGCACTACTGGGCCAGGAACTGTTGTAGCACTAGAGATAGAATAGTGTACAAAATAAGACAAAAATTCCCATCTTAATAGATCTTATATCCATGTGATCAAAACAGAAAAGTGCAATATACAGAAAGGTAGATAGTGAAGAACAAAGCAGGATAGAGAGAGGGAATGGAGAGAGTGTAACTTTAACCTATTATTTAATTTATTTCTAGCTCTTTCTGTTCCAAAAGGATTTAAGTTAGAGATTACTTAGAGAACCTAAGTATCACAAATAAAATAACAATGCTTAGACAAGGAAAGACTTTAAACCAAGAAACTATAAAAACACACTTCCTTTTCATAGCAGCAGACAGAGAGAACTCTTCAGGCTCCTAAGTCACAGAAAAGTTACAATAACCTGAGGCATCGTCTCCAAAAAAGCAATGGCTAGAGAAGGGAAGAGGATGAATGCACTGATAGAAGTTCCAGAAAGAAGAAGAAATGAAAAGCCAAGAAGGAAAGCACACTTCTTGTTAAGGATATGAACCTCCATGGACTGCCACTTTCTTCTATTCAATCACTAGTTGACAGTGATTTCTTCCTACAAACTGTAACTATTTCTGACCAAGATCTCTCTTTTATTTGGCATAGTATAGTTATACAACTTACCCATTATTCTATCCCCCAAACAAATATTTAACTTTTTTAATGTCAGAAAAGGAACCCTTTAATTCCTATCTTTATCATTAAAATTCCTATGAAAGGAATGCAGAGTGTCAGTAGACTACTCTGGTTCTTATATATTTTACCTTAATAAAATATCAAAATGTGGGGTGAAATTCAAGAAGATAAAAAATTGGAACAAGGTTTCAAAGAGCACCCCTAATACAACAAGGGTGCTTGTACAAGCAGAGACACTCAGCTACTTTAATCTGCTATCCTTTGTCCACAACCAGTTCCACTACCATTAAACAGTACCATAGACTAAGGAGAGAATGATGAAAGGGAGCAACAAAAGTAAACCTTCTCTAAAGCCCTGCTCATTTAGCTGGGGTGATAATAGGCCAAGGTAAGAAATGAGCATATAAACTAAGCTTGTCCATAACTTCAGATTTTTTCCTTCTTATATGAAATAGCCTCCTTATTGTTTTTTACTTGAAAAAAGGCTTTTAGTCAGTGAGTGCTAATTTTTTTGAAATTAAAGTACTCATTTCACTGTCATTTTAATAAAATTATTTCTCAGGTTATGACTATCAGATATATTCTGGGAATTTTTCAACATTTTATTTATTCATATTCAAAATATAATAAAATAAAAGCTTCAAATTCAGGAAAATGCAGGGAACCAACATATATTTTAAAAACTGGTAACAGCAGAAATGTTAGCCACAAAAAATTACCTTTATGGCTGTGTGTTTGTTTTCATCTTCTCCCATCCATAGATCCTGTTCATAGTAATATAAGCCATCATTAATGACTTTAGCAAGTTCAGATGTAATTTTTGCCCGAGACATGTGGTTGCCTGTTCGATCTCCTCCAGGATGTTTTCTCATGTAAGGTGGTGTCTGAGTGACAATTAAAATCTTGTTTAAATCCTGGTCATCAATTTCATAATCTGAATCATTATCAGACCAATCCGTAAATGTGTTTTTTCGTCCTTCTATTTGTTCTATCTCTTCATCAAATAAAAAATCAAGCTCTTCTTGCTCTTGCTCATCTGAAGGATACAGCTGATTTGATGCCTCTTCAGGTAGAGATGATGATTCCTGATGGAAGAAAATGGCATTTTACTTATAAACAAATATTTCTGTCACTTTAAAAATAAACATCACATAATGATGTTACAAATTAGTATTATAAAGCCTGTAAGTCCAGCGACTAGCTAGCAGGCAAATTATGAAAGAAAATCAAGACAGTATTGTTCTGACCCAATAAATGCAAAGAATTTGCTAAACACTTAAGTTTAGCTAAACAAAAAACACAAAATTGAGTAAAAGGAGGATTAAAGAAAGACTCCTTTAAAATTAGAATGGTGGGATTCTGAGGTGGCTCAGCGGTTAGGCATCTCCTTTTGGCTCAGGGCTTGATCCCGCCGTCCTGGGATCGAGTCCCACATTGGGCTCCTTGCATGGAGCCTGCTTCTCCCTCTGCCTCTGTCTCTGCCTGCCTCTCTCTAGGTCTGTCTCTCATGAATGAATGAATAAATAAATAAAATCTTTAAAAAATAAAAATAAAATTAGAATGGTGCCTAAGTCCATCCATTTTAGCAGACCAACTCATCTTACAGATAAGGGGGAAAAAGGCTTAGAGATATGAAATGAATTTGTCCACAATTTCTGAATTAGTCAGGACTAGAACAATCAGGTTTTCTGACTTCCAAATTCAATAATCTTCCTAGTCTGAATCCTTGCAATTATATTAATGCCATTAGCTAGGTTTCCTAGCTAATCCCTCTGCCTAATCTTCACCCTCACTTACTGTGGCCTGGTTTTCCTATTAAATTTACCCTAACTTGCACTAAACTGTTGAACTTGACCCTTCCTGAAAAGATTAAAATTGCTTCCTATTAGATGACTTAACAAGTCCAAAACATTAGATCCTAGATCTTCTATAATCCAACCTAGTCTAGATTTACAAAATTCTTAACACAAAAAAAGACTTCTCAATGTCATTTTCCAAGGCCATTCTTTGACCAGTCCTTACCCTTCAGCAAATGCTAACTCTCTTCTGCCTAGAATAAAACAATCCCTCTCTCTCAGAATTTCTATTAATGCAGCATATAGTCATTCAGCCAATAATTATCTGGGTCCTCACTGTGAGCCAAGTACTGTTCAAGGAAAGGATATACAATAATAACTAGTAACTGCCCGGACAGAGCTAATACTCTAGTAACTGGAAGACAGTCCATGATGCTTTTACTTAAAAAAAAAAAAAAAAAAGTTTTAACACATTATGAATATATTTAAAAACAAAAACCATATACCTTTGTATTCACATTTGCAAGGACATGAAAAAAGTCTGAGAATAAACACTGAACTGTTAATAATGGTAAACCTTGGACAGAGTCTCTTTTTACTTTATATTAGTTATATTTAAATTTGTTTCAAACAAAAAATTTTTTCACTCATGAGGAAGAGACAAGAGATTTGAGGTTGAAGAGGACTTAACTGAGCATACTTGTAGTAATGATTCACAGTAAAGAAAAGAATAAATTCATATCAATATAAAAACAAGTATTATACTATCAGAAAAATCAGAAATTGTTCTGACTTTCTGGAAGGTAGAAAGCCAATGGGATTGGACTGATAATGAATAAGGCTAAAGGAAACAGCAACTTTGAATCCATATAAAGACAGACACTTGTTCCACTGAAGTCCTAGAAAGTTCTCAGATGGTAAGCAAAATGAGCAGGAACAGACTATGTGACAGCCATCAAAATGGATATTTGAGAAACCAACTATAGAATACAGCTAGAACAGTCCATCCAACACCCTTATCTGAGAATATGAAGTTATAAAATCTGCTCCTGACTTAAAGTCCAAGAATTGCTTTCTAAACAAAGATTTGCTAAGAGAGTGTTCATGGAAAGAAGCTGAACAAATCCTATTATTCTAAACTTCTAGAACAGGGTTATGGGGAAAATAAGCTAATTTTACCAATGAATATAGTACACTAAGGAATTCCATCTCCCAGAGAAAAGTACTGCTTTTATCAATTCTGGAGATCCAGAACTAGCATGACTATTCTCTGCCAAGGTCTAGAAGTCTAACAGGACTTTTACTCTTAACCAAAAGTGTGCACAATCACACCTCACATTCAGGAGAAAAGCTGTCTGGATGAGCAGATCTTCAAGGCCACAAAAGAAGTCCATACCAATTTATCAGTAACTAATATGAACCATCAACTAAAGATCACCACATATTAAGAAATAATCATAACCCTAGAAGAGGACTCAAAAAAAGGTGGAAATATCATAATACAGAATCTTTTTTAAGTCTCCAACTCCAGAAAAACAGTAGCCAGATGATAAATCAAACATCAGATAAAAAATACCAAAACTTGGAAGAAAAAAAAAAAAGAAAGAAACATAAGTTTTCCCCAAATAAAGGACATGAATATTCAACACAGTAAATGAAAACAAATCAACTCGAGTATATCATCTGAAATTTTAAGAGTGGGGATGAAGAAATAATCTTAAAACCTCAACAACAATAAAATCACCTGATACAAAAAAATCTAAAGGGACGAAATTTCACAAGAAAAAACTACCAAGGAAACAGTGGAAAAGCTTTTCAATTTCTAAAACTATCTCTGAACAGCTATACCCACTCTAGAATGTATATTTTTAAATGATCATTGTTTTTAATAAGTATGTTAGCAATGTTGTCATTAAGTAACCTACCTTAGCAGGTATCACTGAAATATCTAGGCCCCCAGAACCTATAGTCAAGTCAGCTTTCCTCCAAGCCAGATCTTTACTCTGTAATAGCAGAATACATTTCAGATCTTACTAATGGCACCAACAATCTTTGGCCATAAAACTGAAGGTCCTAGATTTTATATGATTCTCTTTCCACTATTAAAACCAGATGCAAAAACAAACAAACAAACAAATAAAAAAACAGATGCCAGACAGCCCAGGTGGCTCAGCGGTTTGGCCCTGCCTTTGGCCCAGGGTGTGATCCTGGAGACCTGGGATCAAGTCCCACATCGGGCTCCCTGCGTGGAGCCTGCTTCTCCCTCTGTCTGTGTCTCTGCCTCTATCTCTCATGAATAAACAAACAGAATATAAATAAGTAAGTAAATAAATACATACATACATACCTAGATGTCATTAGCAATTTTCTGGCCCCATATATCGCAATCCAGTATCTACCCTTCCAAAAACTCTTTTTTTTTTAATGGAGTCAAAGATGCTATTAATTTTAACAGGAATCATTATTTTGTTTTTAAAAATCAGAACAATTTTGCTTTATTAATTAGCACACTCCCTGAATTTAAGCCCCTTTAGAAAAAGAAATCAGTTTTGGAGAATTTTAAGTTGCTTGGCACCTAACTAGTCTTTGTATTAGTTTCTGGTACTTCGTAACTTTCCTCTGCCAGCTCCTGTAAGAAAGAGAAAATATTTCTTTTTTTTAATTTGAGAATAGTTGATACACAACGCTGCATTAGTTTCAGGTGTACAACATATCAATTCAACTAAGCTTTATGTTATGCGTGCTCACAAGTGTAGCAACCATCTGTCACCATAAAATGCTCTTACGATATCATTGGCTACATTCTCTATGTTGTATCTTTTATTAATATGATTTATTCATTCCATAACTGGAAGCTTTTATCTCCTTCTCCCTTCACCCATTTTGTCTATATCCCCTCATCCTCTGCCCTTCTGGGAAACATCAGTTTGTTCTCTGTATTTACAGGTCTGAGTCTGCTTTTTTTTCACTTTTTTATTTTGTTTTTTAGATTCCACCTGAGTGAAATCCAATAGTATTTGCCTTTTTCAGTTTGACTTATTTCACTTAGCATAATATCCCCAGATCCAAATGTCACAAATGACACGATCTCCATCCTGTTTTATGGCTAGTATTCCATTATATATGTATACCCTATCTTCTCTATCTATTCATCTATCAATGGACACTTAGGTTGCTTCCATATCTAGCCTATTGTATATAATACTGCAATAAACATTAGCATGTCTTTTTGAATTAATACTTTCATTTTCTTTGGGTAAATACTCAATAGTGGAATACCTGATCATATGGTAATTTTGATTTTTAAACTTTTTAAGGAAATTCCATACTATCTTCTGTGGCTGTATCAATTTATTCCCCTACCAACAGTATATTGAGTAGGAACCATTATTTTAAAAGAAATATTGAAATGTGGAGTTTTTCTAAAGTGAAGGAAAAAACAGAGATCTTGGAATAAATACAATACTATACAATCTTTGTCAATGATCCAGGACACTATCCTTTTGTTTTGTTTTTGTCAGGACATGGTCCTTATCCTCCCTAGCTATACAGCGATGTTATTTGCCATGATAAATATAGAAATTAAGTTCTTTAGAAAATCTTGTTTTGAGAAAGCTGCTATAGGTTTTTAAAAACTTATTTTTTATAATAAATTTATTTTTTATTGGTGTTCAATTTGCCAACATACAGAATAACACCCAGTGCTCATGCCGTCAAGTGCCCACTTCAGTGCCCGCCACCCAGCCGCCCTCGTCCCCTTCCACCACCCCAACTTCGTTTCCCAGAATTAGGAGTCTTCCATTTTCTGTCTCCCTTTCTGATATTTCCCACTTCTTTTTTCTCCTTTCCCCTTTATTCCCTTTCACTGTTTTTTATATTCCCCAAATGAATGAGACCATACAATCTTTGTCCTCCGATTGACTTACTTCACTCAGCATAATACCCTCCAGTTCCATCCACATCAAAGCAAATGGTGGGTATTTGTCATTTCTAATGGCTGAGAAATATTCCATTGTATACATAAACCACATCTTCTTTATCCATTCATCTTTCGATGGATACCGAGGCTCCTTCCACAGTTTGGCTATTGTGGACATTGCTGCTAGAAACATCGGGGTGCAGGTGTCCCGGCGTTTCATTGCATCTGTATCTTTGGGGTAAATCCCCAGCAGTGCAATTGCTGGGTCATAGGGCAGGTCTATTTTTAACTCTTTGAGGAACCTCCACACAGTTTTCCAGAGTGGCTGCACCAGTTCACATTCCCACCAACAGTGCAGGAGGGTTCCCTTTTCTCCGCATCCTCTCCAACATTTGTGGTTTCCGGCCTTGTTAATTTTCCCCATTCTCACTGGTGTGAGGTGGTATTTCATTGTGGTTTTGATTTGTATTTCCCTGATGGCAAGTGACGCAGAGCATTTTCTCATGTGCGTGTTGGCCATGTCTATGTCTTCCCCTGTGAGATTTCTGTTCATGTCTTTTGCCCATTTCATGATTGCATTGTTTTTCTTTGGTGTTGAGTTTAATAAGTTCTTTATAGATCTTGGAAACTAGCCCTTTATCTGATACGTCATTTGCAAATATCTTCTCCCATTCTGTAGATTGTCTTTTGAGTTTTGTTGACTGTATCCTTTGCTGTGCAAAAGCTTCTTATCTTGCTGAAGTCCCAATAGTTCATTTTTGCTTTTGTTTCTTTTGCCTTCGTGGATGTATCTTGCAAGAAGTTACTGTGGTTGAGTTCAAAAAGGGTGTTGCCTGTGTTCTCCTCTAGGATTTTGATGGAATCTTGTCTCACATTTAGATCTTTCATCCATTTTGAGTTTATCTTTGTGTATGGTGCAAGAGAGTGGTCTAGTTTCATTCTTTTGCATGTGGATGTCCAATTTTCCCAGCACCGTTTATTTTTTTTTAATTTTTATTTATTTATGATAGTCACAGAGAGAGAGAGAGAGAGAGAGAGAGAGAGAGAGAGGCAGAAGGAGAAGCAGGCTCCATGCACCAGGAGCCCGACGTGGGACTCGATCCCGGGTCTCCAGGATCGCGCCCCGGGCCAAAGGCAGGCGCCAAACCGCTGCGCCACCCAGGGATCCCCCCAGCACCGTTTATTGAAGAGACTGTCTTTCTTCCAATGGATAGTCTTTCCTCCTTTGTCGAATATTAGTGACCATAAAGTTCAGGGTCCACTTCTGGGTTCTCTGTTCTGTTCCATTGACCTATGTGTCTGTTTTTGTGCCAGTACCACACTGTCTTGATGACCACAGCTTTGTAGTACAACCTGAAATCTGGCATTGTGATGCCCCAGCTATGGTTTTCTTTTTTAAAATTCCCCTGGCTGTTCGGGGTCTTTTCTGATTCCACACAAATCTTAAGATGATTTGTTCTAACTCTCTGAAGAAAGTCCATGGTATTTTGATAGGGATTGCATTAAATCTGTCAATTGCCCTGGGTAACATTGACATTTTCACAATATTAATTGTTCCAATCCATGAGCATGGAATATTTTTCCATCTCTTTGTGTCTTCCTCAATTTCTTTCAGAAGTGTTCTATAGTTTTTAGGGTATAGATCCTTAAAAAGACTTATTATCTTTATTTTTAAATTTTTTAGAGAGAGAGAGAGAGCATAAGTAGGGGGAGGAATGGGGAGGGAGCATGAGGGAAGTGAAGATAATCTCAAGCAGACTCTGTGCTGAGTCCCACATGGGACTGGATCTGGCCACCCTGAGATCATGACTTAAGCCAAAACCAAGAGTTGGACACTTACCCATTGAACCACCCAGATGTCCCCTCCGAAAGGGGGTAAAAATAGTAAGAACCACCTCTTTTAACATTTAAATACACCATGCTTAGCCACCACTGCTAATTAAAATTTGATTTTAGGGTTTTGATTAGGGTCTTCCAAACTCAGCATTCCTGACCTGTTAGGCATGATAATTCTTTGTTTTGGGGAAAGGGGGGGTGCACTGTAGGATGTTTAGCAGGATCTTTGGCCTACACTCACAAAATGCAATAGCACTCCCCCAGCTTTAACAACGAAAAATGTTTCCAGACATTGCCAAATACCCCAATGAAGCAAAATTTCATCACTCCATTCCTCCAGTAGAGAATCACTCTTAAATCCCTTCATGCTTCCCTTCTTCATGCTGTGATGCTAAGGATAAAGAGCCTTATTTATAATATTCTTCAATCTGATAGTCTTCTTTATCCTTCCCAATTCCAGGTCCTATTATTTTCAGTGACCTTACCTTCTCCTTACAGAGCTTACTTTCAATATTTGAATCATTGGAGTACCACTCTTTCCGCATTTATTTGTGGTAAACTTTTTACTTTGAGCTAATAGTACATTCATATACAGTTGCAACAAACAGAAAACTTACAATTTTTTTTTTACCGTTTCTCTCAATAGTAACATCTTAAAGTATATAGCACAATATTACAAACAACATATACACTGAAATGTGAAATAATCCATTAATCTTACTGAAATCTCCCATTATTTGTACTTATTTATGGTTTGGATCAGAGCAATTTTTAGCACATTTGAAATTTTGTGTATCCAAACATGAGTCAAAAATACAGCAGTTCTGCCATCAAGAATCTCTCCTGTGGTTTCATAACATCTCACTCCCTCATGCACCCTTATCAATTTTTTCCTTTCTCAGCATACATAAAAATCACCAAAACACATATATACCTGATTTGTACCCTTTATAAATAATAAGGTCACAAATAATAACAAACTGGTAATACAAATTCACAATTTATAAAGATTGTCAGCTTTAAAAAATTTGAATTTAGTCACAAGTAAAAAGACCATGTCAAAATATTCTTAAATCATTTTTTTTTTAAGATTTTATTTTTTCATGAGAGACATGGAGAGAGGCAGAGACACAGGCAGAGGGAGAAGCAGGCTCCATGCAAGGAGCCCGATGTGGGACTCAAACCCAGGAATCCGGGATCACTCCCTGAGCCAAAGGCAGGCGCCCAACCACTGAGCCACTCAGGCGTCCCAAGATAAATTTTTTAACTTACTTTCAACTACTGAGTAAACTGTTTTTACTTATGGCCGATGGATCCAATTTTTACAATTTTTTAAACTTTTCCAAATTGTATATATTTACTTGACAAACAAAATACACTGGCCTTACTACAGGAATGTACTACACTTCACTTGGTTTATAACAATTTACCTTCAATTTCACTGGAGATGGACGATGTCTCTTTTTTACTTCTATCCAAGGTTCTGAGTCCAAGTCAGGCAAGCTAGTAGACAAACCTCTAGACATTGCTTGAAGATTACTTGTTTCAGTATTTTTCTTTGGGTTCAGCAGACTTCCAATTCTTGGAGAATTTGGGGCAGATTCTAAAATTTTAAGTTAGTACTTAGTTAAAACAATGGTTTTCTTACTGATAAAATACTTCATTTTCTTTACTTGGGCTTGATTTTTTTTTCAACAAAAACATGATCAATCAAATCTCAATTACAATTTTTCCAAAGACTTTCAAACCTGAAAAGATGTAATGTAAGATGTATCTGAGGGAAGCCAATGAATAATAGATAAAAGAAATGTCACCAACTCTTACACAGATCACATTCATTTAAACTTCTTAAGCGTATCAACTGAGTCACTAACTGTGATAATACATCTAATTTAGGAGTTAATTCCCTGTGAAATCTTAAAATCTATCAATTATAATGAAATTACAGAATCTCAAACACTATTAAGCCATAGAGTAAATGCATATTTTATTCAAGGCAGTATCAGTCCTTTACTGTTCTGTTATAATCTATAGTAAGGCAGTCATTATTCATACTTTTCTTATTTCCTTTGCTTAAAGAGTTTTACCTAAATGCAGTGTACCCACTTAGCTCATATTGGATACTATAAAGAACAGAATGTCACATTATTAAACTGCAGTGCCCTGGGCACCTGGGTGTCTCAGTCATTTAAGGGTCTGTGTCTCCCTTCAGCTCAGGTCAGGAATTCCACATCAGGCTCCCTGCCCAGTGGGGAGTCTGCTTCTCCCTCTACCCCTTCCCCCATGCTCCTTCTGTCTCTCTCAAAAAATAAAAACCTTTAATGAAACAATTTACATTGCCCTGGCCATAAAATTTAAAACATTTTTTAAAACTCTGATGGAATTAAAAATGCTTTTCTCCACACTATATAATCAAAATAAATGCATGCTCTATAAATAAAATCCTAATCACTTTAAAAATTTTTTAAAAGTCAAAAGAATACTTATTTTAAGTTATAATGCAATATGTACTTCCTTTGGACAAAATGTTTTAAGTACAAATACTCTAATAAAATTCTAAACATCATTTAATTTAGTCCAAAAGTCAGTTACTTGAAAATATTGCAAAGGTTGAATATTACATATAGAAAGCTGATATAAATCAACAGAAACAATTCTTTTATTTACTAAATGAAAATGGAAAGGCACATTCCAGGAGTTTGGGTTTGAGAAGCATATTCCAAGATTTTACTCTCATCTACTACATGCTAGAATCAAATAAGTTATTATCCTCTCCATGAACACAGTTAGATCCAGGATTCAAATATCAAATGACTATATTACTTTTTTTAAAGAATACATTGCTTCATAACAGAAAAGACTCTAAAACTGCATTGTCCAGTATGTAGCCACTGGTCATATGGAGTTAATGAGCACTTGAAACAGGAGTAGTCCTAAAATGTGCTAGTAAGTGTAAGTAAGGTACATATCAGATTTCAAAAAAAAAAATCTAAAAATATAAAATGGATCTTTTTTTATATTGTTAATTAATATAAAATTTTTATATTAATGTTACAATATTTGGCTATATTAAAATATTTTAAGTGTCATTAAAATTAGTTTCATTTGTTTTATGACTTTTCAGGCTTTAAAATTATTAGGGTTACATGTGCAGCAAACATTGTATTTTTATTGGACATTGCAGCTTACAACTTTCTTAGTTAACAGTACATATATTATCAATTGATCCACAGAGGTAGTACCAGTGAAATGCTAGACTTGGGCTGCAAGTATTAATATTAAAGTTATAGGAATGGGAAAACATTAAATAGCAGAAAACCCTATTTCTAATACTATAAATCACCTATGCTCATGCAGTAAAAATAGACTAAGAACCACCACCCTAGCAAGTGCGAGAATTAACTAAATTACTACGCATAGTTCACAAATAAATTATAAGAGCACCACCTGGCACATGGAAGGGAAAATCAGTTAAATACTATTTTTAACACAGAAATTTAATCTTTAAATGCCTACTTAAGTTTATTATATAATCATCTCTAAATACTCTCTAAGCTTGAAAGTTTCTACCATGAACTCAACAGTTTTACTATATCCACAACATGTGCTTATAAATTAAATGACATCAAAATACCAAAGAATTTGGGTAAGACAATAGAATTTAGAATAGTCTGAGTTTTTAAAGGGAAATATTCACCTTGTAATTACTTATAATTACCACATTATTTCTTTTCTTTTACAATGAAAAGACTTCAAACATTATGTGTACAAATTTTAAAGGTAATGGTAAAGCCCTAATCTTCCAAGAACAAATGAATATTACTTGGATGACTTGACATTAAACTTACAGATAAAAATTTAAATGCATACTTTGACACTTAAAGGTTCTAATTTGTGAAAACATAGAAAAAATTTTATCTTTGCTGTTTTCATTAATTGAAAATTGTCAACATCACTCTCCAGAGGTAAATCACCATATATATTCCATGATTATCTATCTAATTTGACTTCTTTATCCACTGTGAAACCAGGTAATTATATAGATTGCTTCAAAAGGATTAAATACTTTATGTGTAGCACATTCAGGAATACTTCTGTAACTTTTCAAAGGAAATTCCACAGCTTACTCAAAAATCATTAAGGATCCTTCTACACATTTTTCAAAGAACCAAAAGCAATACCAAAAACCCCAAGATGGTCAGGTACCTCTCTCAATTTTGATGAATGAAATCCTTTTACTTAAAGAGTTGATACTATAATACTATATCCACAGAACTGTAAAACCTAAATTTTAAAATTAACATCTTACCATTCCCATAATCAACATTTTCTGGTGCATTGAGGTCCTCTGTTCAGTGCAAAGGTGAACTCATGTTACACAATTCAACCTCCATAGAGGGAAAAATAGACATTTTAATTTCTTTGATGAAAAAAAAAACAAAAATGTTTAAATATCTAACCATATAAATCCCTCATAAAATATACATCAATGGTTATGTTTTTGAAGTTTAAAGTCTTCTCATCAGAGAGAGAGGATATAGATAAAATTTCTTTACCTAAAGGTACAGATAAACACCATCTACATTTCCTATTCCTACATCCATTTCAAATTTTTGGTGACATAATTCTCTCTAATGAATTTAGGACCTAAAGCTTTCTCATCAGAGGGTAACTATTAAGGGCAGAAATTCATGGAAAAGGCTGAATTTACGTATTTATTCCTATGGTGTAATGTGAATCTGTGTAATTCTACGAACATTCTTTCTATATACCTTCATTATCCATCTAATTACAGATCTATAATCTAAAGAATCTAAGAACTTTGACATTTAAATATACAGTGATTTGTTTTGATAATATGTATGATGTGTAAATTAGTGTATATTTAAAAAACACAAAATGTACAAGACATTGTGATTTTATTCTTGCAAATTTTATTAATAATGCATAAATGGTAAAATGAACAGGCATCACCAAGTTAACTGACCTACCTTAGCTAACCTGTGAAAAAAGTATTTTCTATTTTTATCTAACCCACCTAATGCCTGTTCATAAGCAGGTTAAAAATGTCATCTTGGACCCCAAATTTACACAAATAAATTAATCTAACTCATACAATCAGACATTAAGTCTTTAAGAAAACCTAAAAAATATCACTTTTCTTCAACTTTTAAAACATCTGCCCAAGTTGCTTGCTAAGGTTAGAGGTACAGAGGGCTGACAATCAAAGGAACACTAAATAAAAATATCTGTCAGACTGTCCATCGGTACTTTATTGATGGCAGGTCTCACATCACGTACTGGTGTATAAAAAATATATTTTGAGGAGTTTAGAAAAAAAAATAGTCTTGTTTATTTCTCAAATTTCTTATCCTTCAATGTCCACATTAACACATCGTATAGTCCATGTGAAGTAAGATGACAACATGGGAGCTGTACACTGTACACTACACAGAAGAGCAAATCAAATAGCAAAGGACCTAACAATCTGGGAAATGCCACTCGTGCCTCTCTAGGTTTGCTTTATTGATTGGGACACAGGTACACAAGTCTGGAAGGATAAGACAGTATCTTGCAATATTCCCAGAATGATAATTAACTTTCCCACCGTAAATAAAAGTAGCACATGCAGCTCAGGCTAATTACACACAAATGGGTGGCTCCTATAAAAACCACTGCAGTCCTCTGGTCTCTCTCCTCATCATCACAAAGGCGTTTATCTCCAGTGTAGTGGTGGCCCAACCTCCTCCACAAGGAGTCGGGAGTAGACATTCTTGCACAGCAGTAAGTCTGGTCGCTTTCATTTCTGCAGCACGATTTGTTCCAATGTTTATAATATTTCAGTGAGTCACCTATTCCTCTGCATATTCGATCAAATGACATCCAAGCATCAGTAGATCATCACCCTGACTGAAAAAAGTTTAAGCACACACATTTTTTTCCCAAGAGGGAATGTCTTAAAAATGATCCAGGAAAATAATTCTTAATATTAAAGCAGTTTTTGGGAATTCTAATCACCATCAATCCTTTAACCTATAATAACTTCATAACAGTACCCCAATGCTGCTTTTGAATATAGGTCATCCCATCTTTACAAGATTGAAGCACACTAGTAACAAAATTAAAGTCAGCCCCACTCTTGAGTCTTAAGACTTTTAAACTACTTTAGACTACACCAATCTTCTAAGTGGAAACCGACACAACATATCTATAATCATCTAGTAAAATTAAGATAGGTATAAATTCCACACATGACAAAGTACACAATTTAAGAATAGGGCAGAGCTTTACCCATTATTCTTAAATCCCTTTGTAACTTATGGCTCTGAGGGGTGGGGGCAAAATGAATAGAATTTAGAGCATCAAAAGTCATTTAGTTATCTTTTAATTTTTCTATAGAATCTAAATAAACTTTTTTAAAGGATAGGCAAATTGGACAAAATAACCCACCATTACACTGCTTGCTCTAGAAGAAAAGCTGTTACCTGTATGTGAACAAAAGGCTTGGCCTGGTACAAACTCTGGGCAATCAATCAGTTGAGAGAAGTCTGTTTGTGGCACGCTACGTGGAGGAGGGCCTGGAATTGGCCACTTTTCTGGTTCTATCTTTTTTCTCATTTTCTCATCCACAATTTCCACTTCTGTGCTATCTTTCAGTGCCTATAAATAGATATTTTGATCTATTAAAGAACTATCATTCAAAAAACTGTAATTGTACATACTATACTTCTAATAACCTAAAAAAATTTTAATTTGACATTAGCAGAAATTATCACAGTGAATGTTTCAAAAATATCAATGAATTAATTACTTAGAACAAATCTTTAAAGCATTTGCCCCTGTGATAGGTAACAGGCATCCTCACATAACATGCAACAGATAACTTTGTTTTCACAACAGAATAGGATTATTACATCAACTAGAAGCAAACTACTTTTACCATAATTTACTTCCAGTTTTATTCTCTCATATTTCCTTTTATCTTACCTTAATACCACCAAATAAAATTAACTCTATTTTAATAATTATCACCATTACTTAAAAGACAAGAAATACACATACACATTCCTGACAATACCCTATAATGTACACAGAGAGGAAACTGAGGCTCAAATAGATAAAGGACCTTGATAAAAATCACAGACTGCATATGAGGCAATACTAGGACTCATATAATATACTGACCACCACTAAAACTCTTAGCCACTGGCTATAGTGCTTCGCAAAATAAATATGCTATAATTTAATGATAAAATAAAACTAGAAAAAAACCCCCTCAAAATAAGATTTATTGATCTGAATTCTACCTGAAATTCAAGGGTACTCACCTCTTAAAAATTAAATCAGGAAAAATATAAATATAAAAACTGAACATATATATTTGTTATTTTATAAAAGTTAAAACTCACCATATTTTAGTGGAAGAACATATATATGCATTACTTTTTACAGGTGTATGCCCCCCTTAGTATAGTACTCAGTTTGCAAGTTATATTTTCTGTAACTGGACAGTACTTTAAAATTATTAAAATTTATTTTTTCTTTTATTTTTAAGATTTTATTTGTTCATGAGAGACACAGAGAGAGGCATAGACATAGTCAGAGGGAGAAGGAGGCTCCACGCAGGGAGCCTGATGTGGGACTCCATCCCGGGACTCCAGGATCACGCCCTGAGCCAAAGGCAGACGCTTAACCACAAAACCACCCAGGCATCCCTAAAAATTATTTTAAAACAAATTTGGATGGGAATCAGGATACTCTGAAAAAAATAGTCTGAAATACGGAATAAAGGAATTAAGGAAGAAACCTATGATAAGGGGTTTGAATTGGTGATAGCTATAATTTTTTCTAATATATATTTCCTGGTTTTATCTACTGAACATTCTAGAAACAATGACACCCTAGTAGCAAACCCTGGTATACCCAGGATCCAGATCCTCACCACAACATGGATGAATTTCAAAAACTACCAATGAAAAAGTCAGGAGACAGAAGAATCCCATTAACTCAAATGCATACAAATAAAACAGATAAAATTAATCTACGCTAATATAATCAGAAAAGTGGTTTGGAATGGAGCAGAGGGTTGCGGGAGGAGCAGGACCAACTGACTAGGAAGGGCCATTAAGGAAGTCCTTAGAGTAATGGGCTAGATCTTTCTGAGGGCAGGCTTATACAATTTCGAAATTCAATGAACACCTAAGACTCCTGCATTTTACATACACCTGAATTAAAAAAAAAATCTTTGAAACTTTCCTATTGTTTCCAATTTTTCAGAACAGTGTTTGGAAAAAGAATGCCAATATGTTGATAGAATATGGAGCAAGTGAAACATTCAGTGGTGGTACTTTTAACTGGTTCAGTAATTTGGAAAAAATGTTTAGCAGTTATTTACAAAAACTGAGTGTAGGTATTTATCCTATTACCCATCATTTCAAAGGAAAATAAGTGCATGTGACCATCAAAAAATATGTACAATAATGTTCACAACAGTACTACAGATTTAAACTGGAAAGAATCCATGTATCTATAAATAGCACCATGGAGAAGTATATTGTTTTATATTCATATAATGAAGTACTGTCCCAACATGGATAATGAACAACTGTTACACACCAAAAACATGGATAAACCTCACAGAAGTGATAAGGACAAGTCAGATATAGAAGAGTACACATACTGATTAGATGAAATTGAAAAACAAATGAGAGCTCTGAGGAGCAATTACCCTTGAGGAGAACAGTGGTACAGGCTAGGAGAGGGCAAAATGGAACTTTCTGGGACACTGTAAATGTTCTCTATCTTAATCTAGGAGGCAATTACACAACTATATACATTGAAAAAAGTCATCTGTGATCCTATAATTTCTAATATACAGTGTACAAATCATGTCTCAATGTAAAAAAAATTGAGTGGGGAAAAAAACCAAAGTTGTTTACATATGACTACTAAATAATATATGCTATTTTTTTTTTTTTAGAAAAAGGGCATAATAAGATATGTAGTATAACATGTACTAATCTCAGGAGAAATAACACATAAAAAAGAAGTAACACTGATTGTTACCAAGAAAAGCTTAACTAGTTCACTGTTTGGGAAAGATGAGAAGGAAATTTGTCACTACATACCCTCTGAATTTTAAATCACAGGGAATTTATTCCCTATTGAAAATGTTCAGGAAGAAAATAAAGAGAACAGAACTTAATGTTGTGATTTGGACCTTCAAGACATCACACAAAAATTATATTTTATACAAAATTAAGAAAAAGATCTAGACAAAACAAGAGTTTTATTTAAACCAAACCATGATTATCTTGAACTCCTAAACAATGAGTTATAGTATTCAATTACTATCTCTGGGGGAGCCTGGGTGGCTCAGTGGTTGAGATCGAGTCCCACATCGGTCTCCTCACAGGGAGTCTGCTTCTCCCTTTACTTATGTTTCTTCCTCTCGGTCTCATGAATAAATAAATAAAATCTTTAAAAAAAAATTCTGGATACCTGAAAGCTTTTCTAATTATTAATTTAGGTCCTTTTCTTAGTGGTATTTATTACTATGAACAACCACCAATGTTAGAATATACAGATAATGTATTCCTAGTTCCTGTCCTATGCCTCATACTAAAAGAAAAGATTTCCAAGTGCAAAGACTTAGAGATAAGTCAGAGACACACAGATTGAGGAACCATAGTCAGTCAATTTGGAAAATAGTTTCAGATGAGAATAGTATGAATAGCTTAAGAGCCTTATAAATATTATATTAATTACTTCTCTTAAGGCCTTATACTCTATTTTAAGTATTATTTGCCCTATTTTAACAATGAGAAAACAAGCATGAAAAAGTAACTTAGTTATACAACTGATTAGCTACAGATCAAGGATTAATTGAATATTTTTTTAAAAAAGGAAGTCACGAATAGCTCTCAGCTGTGGAGCAAAAATCAAGAATGCAGTAAATTGGATCTACCATATGATCCAGCAATTCCACTTCTGTGTATACACCCAAAGAAAATGAAAACAGATTCTGGAGAGATATCTGCATGCCTACGTTTACTGCAACATTATTCACAGTAGCTAAGATGGGGGAAACAAACTAAATGCCCAACAACAGATGAAGAGCGGCATGCAGGCATGCATGCAAGCATACACACACACACACACACACACACACACACACACACATCAGATATATCCATATATATCTATGTATCAGAATATTATTCAGCCATGAGTTAGGAGAACATCTTGCCATTTGCAACATGGATGGACCTTATGGACATTATGCTAAATGTGGTAAGTCAGAGGAAGACAAATACTATATGATATCACTTATATGTGGAATCTTAAAAAGTTAAACTTAAAGAAAAAAAGTTAAATGGTGGTTACCAAGAAACAGCAGGTGGGGGGATAAGACTGATGTTTTTTAAGAGGACTAACTTGCGACAAGTAGTGAATAATCCAAAGAGATTTCACGCACAGTACAATGACTACAGACAATACTGTATTATAATTATGTGATAAATATCACTATAATAGCAATCATTTAACGCTACATATATATCAATGTAAAAAACAAAAGCACATACAGGAAGCTGAAAATGAATGGGAAGAAACAGATTCAGTAAGATTGGATGTGTAGAAAACCTCAACCAAGGCAGATAGGGGTGTGAAATAAAATTGCTTCTTTTGAGGGTTTTTCAAGAAAGAAAAGACTTGAGCATATTAAAATACATATAACAAAAAGCTGATAGAATTGAAAAGAAGAACCATAAAAAGGAGTCAACAATAGAAGGGCATCCTTGAAGACAAACAATAATAGCAAATTCTTATTTAGGGCTTACTATGTGTGCCAGATACTATATCATTACACATTTCATCTAGACAGCCCTATGAAGTATGTACTGTTACCATTTCCACTTTACCGAAGTCTCAGGACAATGCACAAAGTCACAAAACTACAAGGATGTGTATGCAGGTTCTCAAGTCCATGCTCTCAATATGCTTATATTGCAAAGCCCAATGAAACCTGAGATTCTTAACAGAAAAATGACAACTTCCCCACTGTAACAAACAGTGGTGTAAAATGAATATTAAGTGAATGTAGACCTATGCTGTTCTAAATCACTGTGCTTGGGACGCCTGGGTGGCTCAGTGGTTGTGTGCCAGCCTTCAGCTCAGGTCATGATCCTGGGATCCAGGATCAAGTCCCTCATTGGGCTCCCTGCGAGTAGCCTGCTTCTCTCCCTCTGCCTGTGTCTCTGCCCCTCTCTCTCTCTGTGTCTCTCATGAATAAATAAATGAATCTTTTTAAAAAAAATAAATAAATCACTGTGCTTATGTATTTCTGTATTTCAATTTTTTTTTTTTTTTATTTATGATAGTCACACAGAGAGAGAGAGGCAGAGAGAGAAGCAGGCTCCATGCACCGGGAGCCCGACGCGGGATTCGATCCCGGGTCTCCAGGATCGCGCCCTGGGCCAAAGGCAGGTGCCAAACCGCTGCGCCACCCAGGGATCCCGTATTTCTGTATTTCATAGAAACACAGTAATTCTAACCATAATAGTAACACAAAAGTTCTTTTAAATATCTCATCCCTAATGCTTTAAGTTATAAGGAAACAGATAATCAATAACCTAAAACTTATGCCTGAGGACTTAATGGAAATACCAAAAGACCAAAAAAGCATACAATAATGAAATTACAACAGATTCCTAAAGAAATACAGAGTAGGGGAAATCAGTAACAAATTCATGAAAAATGACAACTGAGGTAGATTTTTGCTATAGGAGAGATGACAGAAGTAGTTAATAAACTCATTCTACTATGAATATAATAACATTTTTCTGAAGACTAAGCTTTGCAGGAAAAAACTAAGTTTTCTTCAAATTATAGTATAAAGAAACTTTTAGATGTTTTCTTTAAATAAACAAATGTTATAATGGCAGTACTTGACGTAATTTCTTTCATAAGACAAAAACTCAATTACACATTAACAAATAGCAAATCACTAGTTTATATTGTTTTTGAAATCTTGAATCTTCCTGTAGCTAGTTTTTAAATCATGGAGCACATAGGTTTAAAAAAAATTGCTAGAAATCAAAGAAGTCTGTTAAGAAAATAAAAATATGAGTCCAAACCTGGGAAAAAATATTTGTAAAATACAAAGGACTTGTATCCAGAGGAACTCTTACAATTATAAGAAAACAAACATGCCATTAAAAATAGGCAAAATATGTGGATCTTTTCAACAAAAAAAGGTACACCGATGGTAATTAACACAGAAAAAAAAGGTGCTCAGCATCATTATTCATTAGGGAAATGCAAATTAATACCATAATGAGGGACACCTGGGTGGCTCAGTGATTGGGCCTCTGCCTTCAGCTCAGGGCATGATCCTGGAGACCCTGGATCAAGTCCAACATCGGGCTCCCTGCATGGAGCCTGCTTCTCCCTCTGCCTATGTCTCGGCCTCTCTCTGTATGTCTCTCATAAATAAATAAATAAAATCTTTAAAAAAAAAAAAAACCACAATGAGAAACTACTACATATATATTATTCCAAAAAACTGATAATACTAAGTGCTGATAAGGCTATATAACAAATGCAACTCATGCAAAATGGTCAAACCCACTTTGGATATCTTTCTTACAGTTAATATACTTAAAATACATGCCAGCAATCACAATCCTCAATATTTACCCAACAAAAATGGAAACATACACCATACTAAGACCTTTCTGCTTTACTCATAATCTCTAAAAACTGGAAACAATCTAAATGTCTATCAACCAATGAATGGATAAACTGTGGTATATCCATACAGTAGAATACTAATCAACAATAAGAACGAACGAACTACTGATAATGTACATGAATAAATCTCAAAAGCAGTATGCTGAGTGAAAGAAATCAGAAATAAAAGTCAACAAACTACATACAAACATGTAACTATTTTTTTTTGGAAAAATCAAAACTAAAGGGACAAAAATCAGATCAGTGCTTTCAGGGGTTATGTATGGGAAAAGGGATTGGCTACACAGGGGCACAAGAATGTAGGTCCAGCAAAACTATAGTAAAAGGGAAAATTTGATTAAATGTATACAGGGAACAGAAAACCAAAAATGTTCAAAGCATTTCTACAACAGTGCAGACAAAAAAATTAATAAAAGCATTAGAATACAAGTGGAAAGACTATTTCAAATTAGCCTTTCTACAGCTCAGGAAGAATTCTCAGTATTTTAATGAATAGAAATATATGCTATTTTGCAGCAACCCAAGAAGACTAACGGACCTAGAAGATCCAAGTTTGAAGGATCAGGTTAAAAACAGGTGGAAACATCATTAATGAACACCATGAGGGGTTTTCCAAGGTTAGACATTTTTTTTTAAATGAGGAAAAATTTTATTTTTACATTTATCATTTATAGTATCCTTAATTCTTGTGTGTACATGCTTTATAAAATGAAAAAAAGCCATGAGATGTAGTCTAAGCCTTAGGCAACTACAGATGATTTTTGCATTTTGCCCTTAAGGTTTTTAATATACTTTTCAGAGCAGTTTTAGGTTCACCACAAAATTGAATGTAACTGTTTTGTTTTGTAACTGTTTTGTAAACAAATAATTACCTCTAAAATGAGATTAAGGTTTGTAGTGAGAGCCTGAACACGGTGGAAACCAGCAATCAGGGAAATAGGCAAGAAACCTTGTTCATCCATCTTTCTCCTAAGAAAGAAGTCCCGCTCTAAATTTTCTATACTGAAGTAATATTCACTGAAAAAAAGAAACATAAACAAAAAGAAATGAACATAAGTTTAAGTCATTTATTCAAAAGGATATAAAATATCTATAGCTTATATATCAATGGCTTTAAAATTATTTTATTAATAACATAAAGATTAAATACAACTGAGATATATAGGGTAAATACAAGAAGGAGCAAAACCCTACTGAGTTAATAATTTCTTATCCATGAGTAGCAAGAAATTTAGAATACTGATTCTCTTCCAAAAACCTAACATTAGGTAAAACTGATCTAAGTAGAAGTATAAAGAATTAACCAGCATTTTACTTTAAAATAATTCAGTAACTGATTTTTTTAAATGAGTCAATTAAGTGAAAATTCTCATTAAAAGTTATTTTAACTAGCTTCACTTAAACACTAAATAATGACTAAACACATCAACAGATTCCCTTCCAACTTTTTCCCTATCACTATGCAGAACATTAGTTTTGGAAGTATCCTTTGTCAAGTTTATGGAGTAGATTACAGTTTCTGTTTTGTTTTTCAAATTGATAGGGTACTGACATTGTTTACTATTTCTGAATCCTAACAATCAGCACAATGCTGAGTAAAAAATTAGTGACTACAGAAGCACAGATATACACACAATCAATTATATATTTGTAAGATCTCCCTTTTTCTTTGATGGAGAGAACTATAAAAGACATTAAGAATAAACAGAATATATAGCTAAATAGGAATATCTATTGTACTATGAGGTACATGGAGGTAAAAATACAGAAAAAGGTCAAATACCTTAATCTTCTCTAGGAAAGTACCGTGAAAAATGTAAATGAAAAAAACTGCATAATCAATAACTACAAGTTCCAAGACACAAAGATAATACATATATATTTAATAATGGCATTTGAGAAACACATTTAAAATTACAGCCTCCATAAAGAATAATAGGATTCTAGAGAGACCAAGAGGACAAATGGGGGGAAATGCAGAAAAGAATACAAAAGAAATACATGACATCAATGATAATATGGCCTATAGGTTAATAATCCTATAATGCTTCCAAATCAAACAGTTTTCAAAGATCAGTGGCAAATCATGAGAAAGTACACCAGATCATATACTTTGGTGTTAATGCTGGGTGACTAAAGATATCCTTGAAACATTTAGGTGAAATTCTAACTTTGAAAAAATAATCACCCATAAATGAGAAATGACTTTAAGCTACTTTTCACTGGGAGAAAAAAGTCTTAGTTTAGAAATGTAAATACGTCATTTCTTTATACTCAGATATTTATCCGACTATCAAAGCTCCCCTTAGATGAGTGAAATATTACTGACATCTCACTAACACCAGTAAATCATTTACTCATCTTAAACACTGAAGAAAAAAACGTTAAGAAAAAAAATTCTGATTTTGTTATACCTAAAAAAAGCCCTTTTCACAGTGCCTGGCATGTGGTGGGCACATAATACATGTGTTCTAATTTTTGTGACACTTCAAAAGTCCTGATTTTCACAGGCCTGACATAGTAGGCACAAAATACATATGCTTAAATTCTAAATTTTCACAAATTATGACATTTAATTTAATCACTAATTAAAACTGTTCTTACACAAAACTTCTCAATCATCCTATTACCTACAGTATATATGTCTTTAAACTTCTAACGGGATACAAACTACTCATCCCTAAATCTGAATGCCAGAAGAGACTCTCCTGGCTAGAAATCATCAAGATCTTAAATTTTTAATATTCTGACACCAAAAATGACAAATTATCAATATGTTTTTCAGTTAAATAATCTTAAAAACTCAATCATCCATAATAGTTTTAAGCGTCTTCAAAATACATTTAGCACAATTTTCCACAAATGCAAGGAAGTTTTTTACTAACTTCTCAAAGAGAAAAAATGTAAACCCTAATCAATGAGCCTACGAGAAACCTCAAAGATAACAAAGATAAAAAGCATGACTCCTCAAATCCAGAAGTCCACTAATCAAAGAATGATTAATAGTAAAGAGCCTTTCTAAACCTGCTCTCTAACATCTGCCAAAAACCCTACTGCTAAAACAATAACCAAAAAAGGAGTCATGCCCAATGTTGTGTCTGACATTTTATTCAGTGTCCTAGGGGACATTATCATGTCCTACCTTAGAAGCTCTGGATTCTACACTGCATGATCAGAAACTTTGTCAACACTGAAGTAGTTCTGCTCCTCCCTCACTTGTATGAGCACACTGGAGGCCGATTATCCTGACATGGAGTTGCATATCCACTGTCAGGTCTCAGAAGGGACCTGGCAGTAAGAGTTACAAAAAAGACAGGAATAGTGGTTTGAAGTTGATAGCCACATGCCAGGCACTTTCTGCCCATAAAAAGGCCCTTTTCTTCAGTGTTTGCGTCAACTGTAACAGAAGAAGCAAGAACAAAATAAGCAAGCTGCTTCATATTGTATGTAAGCCAATCAAATCCACCAAGAAGGCATCCCAGGAAGATGCCTGGATGATGCTGATGAAAAAATTATTTTCTAGTAACAGAGTAGAGTCAGTTTTCTTTCTTAAATAAAGGCAGATGTTTTTAAGATGCTTACAACCCTTTCAAAACTAGGCTTTTTCGGCACTTTTTAAGAATAAAAAAAAGTCAAATTTCAGCAAACAGGTTATGCAAATCACTTGGGGACATTTTTTCACCACTGTATAAACACACTATATAAATATGCAAAACATTCTATACAATACTAATGTGTACAAGGGTTATTTTTTCTTAAAGACAATAGAATATTCTAACTTCAACTTCAGTATTCAGAAGGCAACCATTATGAGAAGTAGAGTAAAAAGTCTGAACTACAAAAGATGTAGTTCCCTTTCAATATGTGTCACAAAGAAAACTTAGAATTCTGAAATCATTTGCTAAGAAAGTAAAATATATAACCATATTTTGCCATTTATGTTCACTTGCAAATTTCAATATAAACGTATATTTGCAAATAAGAAATCAGGCTTTGTTCAACTTCATATATATATATATATATATATATATACATATCGCAGTTTTATATTTACCCACTCATCTACTACCACGACAATATCCTTTCAACTAATATCCCTTAAACAGAGAAATACCTGAACAGTAGACAAAGCGGGCATCTTATATAACACAACATGAACCAATGTAAGTTTTTTAAAAATATTTCATATATTTTACTAACATTTTCTAGAAAACATATAACACAAAATTCTTCCAATTTTACTAATAAACAGCTTAGAAAATGTATTATAATAACATCACTATCAATGATGTTAAAGTTTGATGTTACTATCCCATCTATGTCTGACTTACATTTGGCGTTTTATATACTCTTTAAGCAATGCTTCTTCCACAGGATACACCTGTACACCTGTACCATCATCATAGTAATACATCATACTGGTATTAAGTTCTGTTTGAAATGGCTGATCAGTCCTTTCACCATGTTCTCGATAACCATATGAGTAATCGAAGTTCACTTGATGTGAGTAAAGAAAAAAGAAAAATGATTACAAATTAAAAAAAAGAGAGAGAAATAGTCCATATAAAGAAAAATCCAAAGTATTTCAACGGATAACAAATATAACACTATCTTTACTATCAGACCAAAAAAAAAAAATCAGTTAAAACATTATATGGAATAGGGGAAAATTAAAAGGACTTGCACACTTTTTCAAACTTCATCTAATTTAACAAAAAATTAATGTCCTACGTCGAGGATTTCCTCTGCCTCGTCCTCTTCCCCGTCCTCGGCCTCTTCCTCGGCCTCTAAAGGAACCTCGGATATTGCCACCCTCACTTCTCACACTGGAAACTTCATCTTGATCGTCTCTCTTTTCTCTATCACGCCTCCAACCTTTTAAAAACAAAATTATTTTTATACATTCCAATCTGCAACGGTGAATAATATGATTATTTTTATGAAAACATGGAAACTATCCCCTCCACACTTTGTAACTGGTTGTTAGACCAGGCATTCTTCAGATAGATACAAATTTAAGAGATTTCATAGGAATTTGTCAAAATGTCCCCAGCATAAAAGGCCTACAATAATATCGACGTATAAAGAAGACATTCTAATAAGTAAAATAACATAATAAAAAGATAAAGAGGTTCTTTGTTAAAATGGTACTGTTGAAGATTCAAGGAGTTCTAAAACAACTGACTTTGCATTATACAAAAATTAAAAGTAACTTTTTATAAAATGTTTAAGGAGCAGTTGTCTCAATTTAAGTAAAAGACATTCCTTTTAAAGATAAAAGGAAATGAAAACACAAAACAAACTAGAAGAGGGACACCTGGGTGGCTCAGTCAGTTAAGCGTCTGCCTTCAGCTCAGGTCATGATCTCAGGGTCCAGGAAACGAGCCCCCTGAGTCGGGCATTCCCTCCCCCTCTACCCCTTCCTCCTGCTTGTGATGGCACTCTCTCAAATAAAATCTTAAAAAATAATGGAAAATATCTGTAGTACAATATAGGAATTATATCCAGGATATATATACAATGCATCAGTGCACACACACACATAAACATAGTAACTCAATGGGAAAAAATGGCTAAAAGACAGGTACACAAACAGGTATGCAAATGGACCATAAATATAGAAAGTGGCATTCAGCCTCAGTGGTCATGAGAAATGAAAATTAAGACAGAGAAATGAAAATTAACACAGAGTATTAAGATAGGTTGACAAAATTTTAAGGTCCTATGATATCAAAGACTGACCAAGACAGAAAAAGGTTGAACACTGTATACCATTAGCAAGAGCAAAGCCAGGCACATCCACTTTGAAAAACAATTTGGAAAAATCAAATAAATTTGAAGGTACATATATCCTAGAGACCAAGGTTTTTCAACCTTGGCACTGTTGACATTGTAAGCCAGATAGTGTAGGGAGATGGAGGATGTTTAGCATCATCCATGACCTCTACCCAAGAGATGCCAGTAGTGGGCACTCACCCCCCACCCACCAGTTGTGAAAACCAATACTATCTCCAGACAATGCCAAATGCCCCCTTAAGGGGGAGAAGGGGGGAATCACTTCCATTGAGAACTACTGCCCTAGATCCTCTTTAATGTGTATCTTAATATAGTCTTTTTCAAACACATCTGTCTCGACCCACAGGAAAGTCTTACTACTCTCTATGTTACACCCTAAAACACACAAATTTTTTTTTTGTAATTTAAACAGAATTGTTGGGGTGCCTAGATGGCTCAGTCAGTTGGGTGTCTGCCTTCAGCTCAGGTCATGATCTCTGGGTTCTGGGGAAGAGCCCCACATCTGGCTTCTTGCTCAGCAGGAACTCTGCTTCTCTCTCTGCCCCTCTGCGCCTCCCCCACTGCTTGTTCTCTCTCTCTGATAAATAAAATCTTAAAAATAAACACAATTGTCATGAAAAGCATATTTTGAGTGAAGCACTCTAGAGCCTATCAATTTCTTTAAAAACCTGATCATGACCCAGTACACCAATTGCAGTACATGGGCTGCAATCTGAAGAAATTACCCCAAAGAATCTCTTGTACATGTTTACTGGAAAACATGCAAAAGACATACACGGTACCACTTTAATATCAAAAAGCTGAAATAGGGGCACCTAGGTGGCTCAGTTGGTTGAGTGTCTGCCTTTGGTTCAGGTCCTGATCTCAAGGTCCTGGGATCAATCCCCGCGTGGGGGAGATGGGGTGGTCCCTGCTTAGCAGGGAGTCTGCTGCTCCCTCTCCCTTTGCCCCTCATCACCTTATGCTCTCTCTCATGCTCTCTCAAATAAATATTTTTAAAAAATAACAACCAGAAACAATCCAAATGTCTACCAATAACAGATTTTATCAAATAGTGAAATATACATCGGCAGGGAAAAGGACTCACAACAATACAACCAACATGCATAAATCTAAGAAAATCAAAGTGAAAAAAATTAGTGCCAAAGAATATATTGATGACATCATACTGAATGGCAGTTTCAAGTAAAAATACTCAAAAACCAAACATTCAAGCCTTTATTTCTGGGAAGAGAGGAAGTGGGATGAAATTGAAGAGGGCACACAGGGAAGTTCAAGGGTAAAGGGTAATGGTAATATGCTTTTCTAAACTTGGTGCTAAGTTCCCAGCATTGATCAAGGTTCGTTACAACCTTCATGTTTTCTTACATGCCCAATATTTACTTTAAAGATTTTATTTATTTATTCATGAGAGACACAGAGAGAGAGAGAGAGAGAGGCAGAGACATAGGCAGAGGGAGAAGCAGGCGCCATACAGGGAGCCTGATGCAGAACTCGAACCTGGGACTCCTGGATCATGCCCTGAGCTGAAGGCAGGCGCCCAACCGCTGAGCCACCCAGGCATCCCATATTCCCAATATCTAGTAAGAAAAATCGTTAACTATAAATATATATTACTTTAATATAACAAAGTAATATATTTGAAAAACAATGATACAAAGGTAAAAAATGTCAGTTTTTCTGTAGACAAGTTTCATAATTTTAAAGTCATATTTTGTGGACAACTGAACAAATATAACTAGATTTCAGATGATATTAGGGAATTACTGTTGATTTTCCTAGATGCTGCAACTTCTTAGGACATCAGTGCTGAAGTGTCATGATTATCTGCAAGTTACTTTCAAATGATTCAACACATAGATGAGTTAAATATAGCAAAATTACCAACTCTAGGTAGTGGTTAAACAAGTATTCACTGTACAATTTCTTTCAACTTTTTGTGTGTTAAGTTTTTCATAATATAACTGGAAACTTTCAGGTGGTAGTATTATGTTTGTAATCTTTTTAAGATTGTTTATTTATTTATTTGAGAGGAAGAGAGAGCACAGAAAAGAGGGAGAGAGAGCACAGAGAAGAGGAAGAAGCAGATTCCCCACTGAGCAGAGAGCCCGACGTGGGGCTTAATTCCAGGAATCTAGAATCATGACCTGAGCCAAAGGCAGACTGTAACCAACTGAGCCACCCAGACACCCCTGCAACATTTTCTTGAGCTTCTCCATTCACAGGACAACATATATACTTTGAAAATTATCAGACCTAAGATTTCAGCAGAGACCTATAAAACCAAATGCCTATCTAATTGTTGTAACATATCCTACTGTCCTCCTCTGCTTTCTGAAATGTGAGAAATCCTGTTGATATAACATATCTGGGAAACGATCTTTAATTTTAAGTAATAACATTACATGTGAACATAGTTTATACATGTATAATTTATAGCTCAGTAAAGTTGACTCTTTAATAAGAGTCACAAATAACCCATAAGAGGCTCTCATTAGCCAAATCTAGGAAAATCTAAACATTGAGCTAAAAACTCACGGTAATGGATTATAATCCACTGAAAAAAAATAAGCCATTAAGTCCACATTGATAATAAGGGAAGCCATTCCTTAGAGTGGAATGTCAACTAGTAAATATAGAAGTAATGATACAGTAAGAAAAATCAGCATTTGCAATGATTATGGTAATAACCAAATAAGACAAGAATCATCAATGGAAAAGTCATGTGGAAAAAAAAAAAAAAGAAGAAAGAAAAGTCATGTGGAAGTCTGATGAAAAACTGGGTATTTCCAAAATTTAAAGTCTCTCGCGCAAATTACACATTAATTATAAGGAACAAAAAAACATATCATAAAGAAACCTAGAGCACATCACTTTAACGAAGTGCTCAAAGTTAACTAATATCAGCAATAAGATAAACCAAGATCATGTGCATTTCCATGCACTGAGAAGAAAACCATTTAATTTCTGCAGTATTCCCACCAAAAATTCAAAACCCAAATCCAATCATGAAGAAACACCAAAAATCCCAAAGTGAGAGTTATCTACCACCTGTCTCAAAGTCTTTAGGAAGAAAAAAACAATGTCATAAAAGATGAAAACAGAAGAACTATTCCAGATTAATCGAGACTAAAGAGAACAAATGATTAAAGCAATGCATATCACATTAGATCCTGGAAAGGAGGGAGAAAAAAAAAAACTGAAAAGGACATTATGGGGAAAGTCAGCCTGTGAACAGTCATACCACATTACTGTTCTATATATACTCTAAAAGTATTTAGTGTTAAAAGGAGCACAGTGGGGACACCTGGGTGGGTCAGTCAGTTAAAGAGTCTGCCTTCGGCTCAGGTCATGATCCCAGGATCCTGGAATTGAGTCCCACATCAGGCACCCTGCTCCAAGAGGAGCCTTCTCCCTCTGCCTCTGTGTGTCTCTCATGAATAAATTTTAAAAATCTTTTTTTTGAGGTGCCTGGGTGGCTCAGTGATTGAGCATCTGCCATCAGTTCAGGGCATGATCCTGGTGCCCGGGATCAAGTCCTGCATCGGGCTCCTTAGGGGCAGCCTGTTTCTCCCTCTGCCTCTCTTTCTGTATCTCTCATAAATAAATCAAAATCTTTTATAATAAATAAATAAATAAATAAATAAATAAATAAATAAATAAATAAATATCTTTAAAAAATAAAAATCTTTTTTTTAAAAGGGCTCAATGTCTGCAACTTATTCTCAAGTAGTTTGCACTTTACACAGTTATTAAAATTGTGAACATTGGGCAGCCCAGGTGGCTCAGTGGTTTGGCACCGCCTTCAGCCCAGAGCGTGATCCTGGAGTCCCAGGATCGAGTCCCACGTCGGGCTCCCTGCATGGAGCCTGCTTCTCCCTCTGCTTCTGTCTCTGTCTCTCTGTGTCTCTTATGAATAAATAAATAAAATCTTTAAAAATAAATAAATAAAATAAAATTATGAACATTAACACTAAGTTCTTTAGTGTCCTTTTTCTCTTAGAAGGTAACTTACTTCGTGTATCATTTCTCCTATTATTATATGATGATTTATTTGCATCAGGTTGACATCTTGAGCTGTTCCGAGATCCTGGTCTTTCTTGACTGTCTGGTCTTACATCATCTAAGTGGAGTGGTACCCACTTGTGCTTATTAGCTTGAAGAAAACCAAATAAAATCATTTAATGACAATGTACAATTTTCATTAAAGCTTTGCAATTCTGAAAGGAAGCTAAATTTTAATTAAATGGAAGACATTGTCTGTCCTTAAAGGTTCTTGTAGAGAACCAAAATAACTTTCTTTTCACAGAGCTCCCTGATAAATTTGTCTGTGCAAATATTTATAAAATTCATGTGAAAAGCCAATTGATGGAATATCATTATTATTCTTTCACTTTCAAGCAAAATACTCACTCTTTTAATTCTGATTAATAAACAGTACATGCAATACACTACTACTATCACTTGACTCTTACACTTTAAAATGGGGTATATCTATGACCCAGCAATTGCACTACTGGGTTATTTACCCCAAAGATACAAATGTAGTGATCTGAAGGGGGACCTGCACCCCAATGTTTATAGCAGCAATGTCCATAATAGCCAAACTGTGGAAAGAGCCCAGATGTCCATCGACAGATGACTAGATAAAGATGTGGTATATGTATATACAATCACTACTACTTAACCATCAAAAATAATGAAATCTTCCCATTTGTAACAACATGGATGGAACTAGAGGATATTATGCTAAGTGAAATAAATCAGAGAAAGACAATTTTCATATGATCTCACTCATGTGGAATTTAAGAAATAAAACAGAGGATCATAGAGGAAGAGAGGAAAAAATAAAACAAGATGGAATCAGAGAGGCAGACAACCCATCAGAGACTCTTAATCATCGGAAACAAACTGAGGGTTGCTGGAGGGGCAGGTCATGAGGGGACAGAGTAACTAGGTGATGGACATTAAGGAGGAGGGCACATGATGTAATGAGCACTGGGTGTTAATATAAGACTAATGAATCACTGACCTCTACCTCTGAAACTAATATGTTAATTAACTGAATTTAAATAAAATTCAAAAAAAGAAAAAAGAATGGGGTATATCTGGTAGGACATTGCACTGTACACACTGAAAAAGGTTGGCTGATGATTCAAAACACTTTGGGTTTTTTTTTTTAAGATTTTATTTATTTATTCATGAGAGACACAGAGAGAGAGGCAGAGACACAGGCTGAGGGAAAAGCAGGCTCCATGCGGGGAGCCCAATGTAGGACTTGATCCCTGGACTCCAGGATCAACGCCCTGAGCGTGAAGGCAGGCGCTCAACCACTGAGTCACTCAGGCATCCCATGTTTCAAAATGTTTAGTTTTCTACTCAATATATATTTATGACTAAAACAAGAAGACTCATGTGCAAAGGAAAAACTACCAAGGTAATTAAGGAAAAGGGAATTATCAGTATGCAACCACAGTACTGATTTCCTATAAATCCTACAAACTATGGTCGGACAAGAAAGAGAACATGAAAGAATCTGTGAGATTCTCTAGTACAAACAAGTCCTTCTTTTAAAGATAAAAAGAGGGATTCCTGGGTGGCTCAGTGGCTTAGCACCGCCTTTGACCCAGGGTGTGATCCTGGAGTCCTGAGATCGAGTTCCACATTGGGCTCCCTGCATGGAGCCTGCTTCTCCCTCTGCCTATGTCTCTGCCACTCTCTCTCTGTCTCTCATGAATAAATAAAATCTTAAAAAAAAAAAGATAAAAAGATGTGTGCTCTAAGGAGAGTCAATTCATGACTCTTAAATTTATATATAAAAACCTGGATTTGGGGATGCCTGGCTGTCTCAATCAGTAGAACAGCAACTCTTGATCTTGGGGTTGTGAGTTCAAGACCCATATTGAGTGTAGAGATTACTTAAAAATAAAATTAAAAAATAAAACCAATCTTTCCTTCAGAGGTGCCTGGGTGACTCAGTAGTTGAGCATCTGCCTCTGCTCAGGGCGTGATCCTGAAGTCCTGGGATTCAGTCCTGCATCAGGCCTCCCGCAGGGAGCCTGCTTCTCCTTCTGCCTATGTCACTTGTTTCTGTGTCTTATAAAGAACATCTTTTAATTAAGTAATTAATTAATTAAAAACTTGGGGGCAGCCCTGGTGGCTCAGCGGTTTAGCGCTGCCTTCAGTCCAGGGCGTGATCCTGGAGACCCGGGATCAAGTCCCACGTCGGGCTCCTTTCATGGAGCCTGCTTCTCCCTCTGCCTGTGTCTCTGCCTCTCTCTCTCTTGCTGTGTCTCTCATGAATAAATAAATTAAAAAAAAAAAAACTTGTATTTTATTGTTGGCTGATCAGTTTTAACTGAAAGCAATTAGAGGGACACCTGGGTGGCTCAGTGGTTGGGCAGTTGCCTTCGGCTCAGGTCATGATCCCAGAGTCCCGGGATCGAGGGCTCTCTGCATGGAGCCTGCTTCTCCCCCTGCCTGTGTCTCTGCCTCTGTCTCTGCCTCTCTCTCTCTCTCTCTCTCTCTCTGTCTCTCATGAATAAATAGATAAAAATCTTAAAAATAAAAAGAATATATCTAAAAAAATTTTTTTTAAAGAACATAGCTATGCCCATCTCTCTACATGCAACTTCATTCTATACTTACATAGAATCCAAGTCAAATGCAAAAAAGGAAAGCCTAATAGTTCAAGAATGTTACAAAAGCAAATCAGTTACCATTGCAGATGGTATCCTGGAGAAATCTAATAAAATACCCATTGGTGACTAATAGGAACCAACTGATTAATTCTTCATTACTACAACTTTCTTCAAAAAATTAAAGTCAAAATGAAGATAAATTAATTGCCATTTGCAACAATAGGCATTAGGCTAAGTGAAATCGTCAGAAAAATAAATACAGTATAATCTTAATTACATGTGTAATCTAAAAGGGCAGAGTTCACAGAAACCGAAAACAGACTGGTGGTTGCCAGGGGTGGGAGAAATGACAAAGGTGGTCAAGAGGTACAACCTTCCAGTTATAAGACAAATAAGTTCTGGAGATGTAAATAATATACAGCATGATGACTATGTATTTGAAAGTTGCTAAGAGACGAGATCTTAAAAGTACTCATTATAAGAAAAAAAATTATGACTGGAAGATGATAGATATTAACTAAAATTGTGAAAATCATTTCACAATTTATACATATATCAAACCATTGTGTTTGTGTATCTTAAACTATACAATGACACGTACCAATTATTTCTCAATAAAACTGCTGGGGAAAAAAAAGCAAAGTTTTAGAGGAACTAACCTCTCTTTCGTTGATTACTTGACTGAGCCTCATCCTCACTGGCATTTTCACCAGGACCATCTAATTTTGTTTCCCGGCTTTCTTTGCTCTCACTGTTAATTCTCTTTTCAACCTTGTCTTCTCTTTCTTTTCTATTTTGTGGTTTCTTATTTCCTTGGCTGATGACACTCTGACACTGCAAAAAGTTTTTCTGAATGAAGTAATATCCATGAACATTTTCACTAACATATCCAAAAATTTGTGCTTAGTCAACCTTTTCTAAATACTGCAAAACAAATAACAACTTTTACCAAAAACTACTTTTCAAAAGATACTGTTAAAAGTCAAGCTACAGATTGGGAGAAAATATCTGCTAAGTATTTGATGAAGTACTTGGATCCAAAATACATAATGCTGTGTCAAAATGCAGTAATAAGAAAACAACCCCATTTTTTAAAAAATGGGCTACAACTCAACAGACACTTCAACAAATGATATATCGATAGCAAATGTAAATGGAAAGGTACTTGGCATCATTCATTAGTCAGAGAAATGCAAATTAAAACTACAGTGTGATAGCACCACACATCTGATAGAATTAGATTAAAAAACTAATTACACTGAATATTAGTGAAGTTGAGACACAACTGGAATTCTCATACACTGTTGGTGGGAATGAAGTTTAGTAGTTTCTGAAAAAGCTAAACAAATAGCTACTACACAATCCAGTCATTCTGTTCCTAGGTATTTACCCAAGAAAAATGACAGAATATATCCATGCAAAATTTTGTACACAAATGTTTATACAGCAGCTTCATTTTTAACAGCCAAAAACGAATACAAATATCCATTCATAGATGAACAAACAGCATTTCATTCATAAAATGAGATAATACTCAGCAGTCAAGAAGGAATGAATTTCTGATACATATTAATGACATATATAAATCTCAAAGTATTCAAACTAAGTGAAAGCCAGGGGGAAAATTCATATTATAGGACTCCACTTACATAAAATTTTAAGAAATGAAAATTAATTATAAGTAACACAAAGCATATCAGTGGTTGCCTGGGTTGATGGGTGGAACATGACAGGGAGAATTATAATAAAGGAGTGTGAAGAAGCTTTTGAGGTAATGGTTAGGTCCATTATCGTGATTTTGGTGATGGTTTCACAGGTATACATAGGTCAAAACTTATCAAATTGTATACTTCATGTGCAGTTTATTATATTTTATTTATACACTAATTAAAGCTGTTTAAATATATTATCTACAACTACAAAGCAATACTGCACAAATTAAAAATAGGAAAGTGCTGGGGATCCCTGGGTGGCGCAGCGGTTTGGTGCCTGCCTTTGGCCCAGGGCGCGATCCTGGGGACCCGGGATCGAGTCCTACATCGGGCTCCCAGTGCATGGAGCCTGCTTCTCCCTCTGACCTATGTCTCTGCCTCTCTCTCTCTCTCTGTGACTATCATAAAAAAAAAAAAATAGGAAAGTGTAGTATCAAATGAAAAAATGTAACCAGATAACTATATATGGTAACCCTCCTCTTAAAAGCCCCTGATAGAGTATGTCAGAACCATCTTTTAGGTTCTTTCATAGTTTAAAAGTCCATTCATTGAACACTTGATTTGATATATACACACATAACATATATGTATATAATTAGCACTTCAATACATATTAAAAAGATTATATCAAAAAACATAGCAAATTCTGAAACAAAACAGGCTTCAAATTAGATTCATATTAAAAATTAATCTCTTTTGGGGTACCTGGGTGGCTCAGTTCACTGAGTACCCAACTCTTGATTTCAGCTCAGGTCATGATCTCATGGTAGTAGAATCAAGCATGCTTTAGGCTCTGAACTCAGCAAGGAATCTGCTGGAGAGTCTCTCTGTCCCTCCTCAACCTCCGTGTATCTCTCAAATAAATAAATCTTAAAAAAAATTAATCTCTTTAATTGTAAGCATTACATTAAGATAACAGCATGGCAATCACCCTTCCAAATGTAAGAACACTTCCTGAGAATACAATCAGATGAAGACAATGTGATAAATAAAATCAAGTATCTGAAAAATGGGTTCATAATAAGAAAAGTTCTCAGCACTTCTTTATTAATGTAATTCTCTAAATCTGAAGTAAAATAAATTCTGCATATTGAAATGAGAATATTTTCCCTTTATTAAGAAAAAAGCCTTAAAGCAATACTCACTCCAGTGTTCACTAATTCACTTGGTGTTGGCCAATTCGCCATATCGCTGAAATCACTAGCCTAAGAAGTAATAAATAAGTGTTACATCTGCAAATTAGAAATCTTATGTAGAAAGAATATTTTCTAAAAGTGAAAGCAATTTTAAAAATTACCTACATACAATCATATGCAGGCATTTGCCAAATTAATTCAAAAGCTTCTCCAAATAACAGAACACTGAAATAACAATGCTTGGGTCTTATGATCCAACTTCAAGCACTATTTAATGAAGCTGACTACAGTGATTTACATAGGATAACGAAAAAAATTAATAAACACAGAATTTGACAAAGGCTACAACTCTCTAGTATATCGTATATCAACTTTAACCTAACATCAGTGATACAACTAAAAGAAAAGTACACAGTAATCTAAAAGTTTCTAACATATCAATTTTCAAAATCAATACAGCTAAGAAGTATTTCATGTAAAAACGTACCTTGTTGGATTTCTTTGTCTTGAGTTTTCCTGCTTTTATAATTTTAGGGGAACTGAGCTCTAAAAACAATAACAACAACAACAACAAAAAACATGCAGAATTGGTCTTACAACCACTTAATTCAACATATTAACTATTATATCAATTTCAGTAAGCCAGTGTTGTCATCATTTCCAACAAAACTCAAAGTTCTGAGAGAAATTTTTAACAAGAAATCAACTATAATTCAAACATAGATTCAAATTGGTCTTCAGTGTTCAAATCAAAAGTAAGAAATATCAGTTTAAACTAAACTGACCAATCCTTTCTCTCACAGAATACAACAGGAAAAAATCAGAAATGTAACATGTTTCAATACAGTAAAGTTAGGAACTCACTTCCCAAAGGGACACATTTTGCTATACAATTCATATATTGACATTCATCAAGGACGATCCAGACAATAAATCAGAAGACTTCAAACAAGGATAACATGTTTGACAATCATAATAGGTTGTATATAGGTAAAGTCATAAAAAATAAAAGTTTGTACAAAACTATCATAGTATTACCACTTGTCCCCATCTTATTTAAGACAGTAGTTGACAACAGAGACTGACTCTCTAAATCAAAACTTTACATTGTCTTTTAGTTTTTGGTTCATTACTTAGCAACTAGATGGTATATCACCTACTGAACATGATCTAAAGTATATATTGAAAAGCAAAATAAACTTGGGATCTGTATCTACAGAAAAACATAATAATCCAGCAAAAATGAACCCATAAAATCATGGCAATGACCAATTCATAGAATGAAGCAATCTTTGAGTTAAAACTCAAAAGCGGGGCAGCCCCGGTGGCACAGCGGCTTAGCGCCACCTGCAGCCTGGGGTCTGAGAGACCCAGGATTGATTCCCATGTCGGGCTCCCTGCATGGAACCTGCTTCTCTATGAAGCCTCTTTCTATGAATAAATAAATAAAATCTCAAAAAAAAAATCAAAAGCAGATTTTTAAAAAGAATACTTATCAAAGGAAGAAGGATGGAAGATTAAGATGTTACCAGGGATGGACATACAAGGATCTGGATTATTACAGTAATTCTATTCCTAAACCAGGATAACAAGTACCCAAATATTTCTTTCATTTTTCATTATACTTTAAGTACACCTATATATGTGTAAGTGTATGCATATGTGTAAATGTGCATAAGAATAAACATTTCATTAAGAAAAATTAAATAAAGAATATGGGTAAATAGGGCATAAAATGGGGACAGGAAAAAATCTAATTTAATAGAGAACAGTATTTGCCTGAACATTATCTAGAATTTGAATGAATTATGTTCTACATATACTATTTACCTTTTATGAAAATCATACAATATAGGAGATTTATGGGACTTTCCCTTCAACAAAGTGGAAAACATGTCCCAAAATACTGCTAAGTCAAGTAAATTAAGTATCTGGTAGTTATAAAATAAGCCTTATACAAAATATTTGATGTAATGTTAAGTAATAAGGGAGAGGGCACACAAGCAGATTTTATTTAGCTTTATTACAAATCAATTAGACATTAACAATCACAAAATTAAGGTTAGAAACTAAAGATAAAAAATTATTCTGACCACATAAAAATCAACTTTTTAACTTTGTTACTAAATGACACAATTAAGTTACTAACAAAATTTTTAAAGATACTTGAACATGATAGAAAATTAACCTATAGATTTAAAAACCAATATGGTTCCATACTCTACTCAGCATTGATTATAACATCCAGCTAAAAGATAATAAATAAGTTGGGAAAGAATATTTATTTCTTTGCACATTTAGAAATTTTAAAATGAGATTTTGATTTCTACAAATTATTTTGGACTCAAAATCTTTAAGTTTTCTTTAAATTTTAATCTCTCAATTTATGTCCTGTAAAAAATCACTAAGTTGTACACCCTGAAACTAACATAGCATTAGTATGTCAACTATACTCAAAATACCATAATTTTAAAAAATACAAATGGGGCCACCTGGGTGGTCCAGTGGTTGAGCATCTGCCTTTGGCTCAGGTCATAACCTGGGGTTCTGGGATCCAGTTCCGCATCAGGCTCCCTTTGGGGAGGCTGCTTCTCCTCCTGCCTATATCTCTGCCTCTCTGTGTCTCTCATGAATGAATATTTTTTAAAGTATTTTATTTATTCATGAGAGACAGAGAGAGAGAGGCAGAGACACTGGCAGAGGGAGAAGCAGGCTCCACACATGGAGCCCAATGTGGGACTTGATCTCTGGACTCCAGGATCATGCCCTGGGCCAAAGGCAGATGCTTAACTGCTGAGCCACCCAGGCGTCCCTAAATAAAATATTTAAAAGAAAAAAATACAAATGGCCAAACATAAAATGGCATTCAATTGCACTAGTAAAGAAATGTAAACTAAAACAAAATACTTTTTACCTATTATATTGACAAAAGAGAATGCTAAGTATTGGCCAGTCTACAAAGAAATGGACATTTCTCAGGGCAACTTGGATGGCTCAGTGGGTTAAGTGTCTTCCTTTGGCTCAGGTCTTGATTCCAGTATCCTGGAAAATCTAGCCCAGTGGGGAGCCTTCTCCTTCTGCCCCTCCCCCTGCTTGTGCTTGCTCTAACTCTGTCAAATAAAATCTTAAAAAAAAAAAAAAAAGGAGGAAATGGACATTTCTCTCATGCTGTCATTAAAAGTGTAAAATAGCATACTCTTCCCAGGATAATCTGTCATTTAAAATACATATAACTTTTAATAATGCAATTCTATTTCTGGGAAATTACCTGGGAAGCAAGACAAAGTACAAAGATGTCTGTATAAAATGAAAGAAGCCCATCAGTTTTTAAAAAATAGTTTACAAAGATAGGACAAGCCTAAGAATGGTAAAACAAGCCTAAGAATGGTAATTTTAACTAAGAGTTTCCCATGTTTTAACTAAAATGGAGGAAATTACCCTGGATATTTATAGAGAAAACCTAAGACTGAAAACGCAAGCCAGTCTAAAAATTAAAAAGTTAAAATTAAAATATATTATGCATACATTGTTTTCCAAACAGGTAAAACCTAAGAAATAAATTTAAACTGCTAATGGCTTCAAACCTAAGTATACATGAACAGTACATGATCTTCATATTTCTATTTTTCAAATAGCACTAGTGAGACACTAGACTAGTGCAACTTTTTGAGTAATATTCCAGTATCTTTAAATCGTTATTCTTTAACTCTGTGAATCTATAAGCTATAATCTGTAAACCTCAACTGATATGGAAAACTATCCATTTTAAGGTCTTAGACACAGAAAACAATAACTGCAACAGTATTATCTAGTCAGGTAGATGCAACATCCTCAATTGTTAACAGTGATTTATTGTGCACAATTAGGATCAAAATCCCTCGTTATTCAAACTGTGATATGTCAATCAGGATCACTGACATCATCTATGAACTTACTAAAAATACAGAATATCAAGTCCTACAGAATCAGATCTGCATTTGAACAAGACCCAAAGTGGAGGGACGCCTGGGTGGCTCAGCGGTTGAGCATCTGCCTTGGCTTAGGCCATGATTCCGGAGTCCCAGCCCGGCATCCCAGCCCAGGATCGAGTTCCACCTCTCAGCCTCTTTCTGCCTCTCTCCCTGGGTCTCTCATGAATAAATAAAATCATAAAAAAAAAAAAAAACAAAGTGGATTCCTAAACGCATTAAAATTTGAGAGTCACTAGTATAATCTCTTCTCTTTAAAGACTGACTCTATGTCTAACACCATAAGTTGTCTGTTACAGCATGATGACATTTGGTTATAATTTTTTTAAAGCCAGATTTTTTTTTATCAAATTAATAAAGTCCACAAATTGAGTACCATTTAAATGAAAGCCATTGCTGTGGACAATATACAAACAACAAGACAGCTTTTGCCTCAAAGAACATTACAAACTGGAAGAAGAGATAAAAAATGAGAATATGTAATCCCAGTACAAGACACTTAAGGATAATTTCTGTGAGAGATATGGAATATTAAGGGAGAGCAGCTTAGAGAGGCCAAGAAGACTACATAAAGGAGTCAGCATTTGAATTTGTTTTTCAAGGATAAACAGAATTAAAACAAAGGGAATGATGATGAGCAAAACCTTAACAGGCAAGAAAACATAAGGCATTTAATCCAAAACAAAGAGTACACAGAAGGGTACATAAACAAAAAGAAACAAAAAGCTAGAAAACTAGGGTAAGACGGGACACATTACAGGTTCCCTCCCAATTTAAGTACTCTCTTAAACCAATGTGTAGGATATTTAAGTAGCTGGGGGGGGGGGGGGCGTGCAAAGACACAGGGACAATTTTACTTACTTTAATTTTCATGGCTATAATCTTTAGCAAAGTTTTAATTAAGCAAATGTACTGATAATTACCAATATTTCACATAATTTTATATTTAAGGGAGAAATACAGTAAAATGCCATTTTGCTACAGTGAGTGCTTTTTAAAAAAACTACTTATTACTCTACAAGTGAGATAATCAACTTGTACAGTCACTTTAGAGAGCAAAGTCAAGTAATACCCTATAACCTAACAATTCCAATTTTCATCATCTATCCTAGAGAAAGTCCGACATATCCACAAGAGGTATGTAATTTTTAAAGTAGGTTCCATGCTTAGTGAGGGGCTTGAACTCACTACCTCAAGATCTACCACCTGAGCCAGTCAGGGATCCCCAAACTCAGTTATTGTAAAGAGAAAAAAACAATAGGGTCAATCAACTTTCAATCAACTTTAAATGAAAAAATGGAGGATATTAAGTTCTAAACACATTTGCAATACACTATGCTTGAAAGTAACTATATAGAAAGGTCTGAAATATATATTCAGTAAACAAGTAGCACCACTTATCTCTTATCTTTTTTTAAGATTTTATTTATTTATTCATGAGAGACACAGAGAGAGGCAGAGACATAGGCAGAGAGAGAAGCAGGCTCCATTCATGGAGCCCGACGTGGGACTCATCCCAGGACTCCAGGACCATGCCCTGCGCCAGAGGCAGGCACTCAACTGCTGAGCCACCCAGGGTTCCCTGATTATCACTTTTCTTGAAGATATCTATAGTTCTGTTTTTACAAGGAGAATGTATTTATGTATCATTTACATAACTTATTTAAAATGTTTTTAGGGTAATAATAAAGCTTATTTGTGGTTTCTGGGAAGCAGACTTTAAGAAAAAGTTGAAAAAAAAAAGACAAGAGCTGATGGGGTCAGAGAAAATCAAGGATGAAAAACATGGGAAAAAATCAGTATATAGAATGTCTTCACAGAGTAAAAATGCTGAAATTATATTAGACAGCTGAATTTTGATATGCTGAATGCAGCCATAACTACTGGTAAAAAAAATCAGTAAAGCCCATATTGTGGGGCACCTGGGTGGCTCAGTGGTTGAGCAACTGTTTTTGGCTCAGGGTGTGATCCCAGGATCCAGGATCAGGTCCCACATCGGAGGGAGCTTCCTTCTCCTTCTGCCTATGTCTCTGCTTCTCTGTGCCTCTCATGACTAAATAAAAATCTTTTTAAAAAATAAATACATAAATACATAAAATTGCATATTGTGATTTTAATGAAGGTCTCCAAAACAAATGAACTACTTTAAACAAGGATAGGACAATCCTTTCTGGTCTCTTGACTGAATTCAACACTGTTGTGACACTGTTCTAGGCCTCCTGGATAAGCCAGGCTCCGGTTGAAAAGAAGGCCTTATCTAGTTTAAGAGGAAGAGCTATACATAAGCCAAAACGATCCTACAAGTGGAATAAGGTGTCTCACAAGGGCTGAAGAAGCAAAAACAATTCACTTGCAGTTCAATCAGAACTGTAGTTTCTAACAGGGAAAATTCATGATTATATATCCTGAAATAAGCCCCTTCATGTCCTGTTTCTATCTCTGATAATAAACTTTTATTTTGTTTGTAATAAAATTATGTGAATGGAATCCCCATATATCTTTAAGAGAGTGACAGTAAATCCAGGTTTGGCCAGGACAAGCATGGTGTAAGTCTATTATTCCAACATAATATCCTTCTCTTTGCCTCTACAATATCCTGGTTTGTCCGATAAATTACATAGGCCTTTTACTAACAGATTATTGCTATTTTGTACCTACTCTGAACGGTAAAGGTCCTCTGCTATTTCATTGTTGCAAATTTGCTTAGAAGAATAGGAAGCCAAGGCACCGGTGGTTATGGATGACACTATGTTATTAACTAGAAGAAATGAATACACCCATTTCATTCATTTACAGGGCTCAGACAAATTGCCAGAAGTCAACTAGCTAGTTGGTAACAATATCTGCACTAGAACCCAAGTCTCTTAAAACAGTGCATTTCTAGACCATAATCTCTAAATTACTCAACTACAAATAGAAGTTGTGGTAGAACAGTCGGCATTGGGGAGAGTTTATAAAGTTACTACTCTACTCCAAGTAGTGAAAAATGGTATGCCTGTAAACACAGAACGGATTCCAAGAATAGAAAGAACTGCCTAGGGACGCATGGGTGGCTCAGTGGTTGAGCCACTGCCTTCCGTTTAGGGGGTGATCCCAGGGTCCAGGATTGAGTCCCACATCGGGCTCCTTGCCAGGAACCTGCTTCTCCCTCTGCCTATGTTTCTGCCTCTCTGTGTGTCTCTCATGAATAAAAATAAAATAAAATCTTGAAAGAAAGGAAGAAAGAAAAAGAAACTACCTACAATAAAACATCAACAAAACTCAAATTCCCATGAGCCACACATAACTGAAATATCACCTTGTTCTTAACCTCCATCAAAGACTAAGATCCCCAATGAAGGCACCTGAGGTTACTTGAACTGTTAAATACTTTTTAAAAGGACATTTCCAATTAGAATTCCTGAGTCTTACCTTGAAAGTTTTAAAACCTGTCAAATTAACTTTACATTCAAAAGACAGTTCATTTTTTGGGTAGTTCACTGAATATAAATTATAATTGTGCATAAGTCTAAAAGTAGGGAGTTTGGACAGCCTATTAACATTCTTTAGGGCTTTCTCTTTGCTAAATTAATGGAGATAATGCTTTATGATTTTCGTTTTCTTGAGTTAGTGATAGTAGTAAACAGATTTTTTTTTTAAAACAGATCTTTATAGCTAGAAGAGAATGGCCGTTATATTGAGAGCAAATTTCTAGGCAGTTTTTTCTGCAAGTGCCAAAATTTATCATGAATTATGAGTAAGTATTACCATGTCAAAGCTAAAGAAATCAACACTTCTCACTCTATTGGAGTTCCTCTTAGGAAATGTTAATATACCTGCAAATAATGTATTTATAGCAATCCCTCTACAGTTATACCACATCCTTTAATTCACTTGATCCTCATAAACCTGTACACATGCTCACATTTTCCACATTTTATTAACCTTTAAGAAAAAAAGTGAAGATTTGCAATAGCTACATTTCTATATAAAAAGTTCAAGGGACGCCTGGGTGGGGCAGCGGTTAAGTGCCTGCCTTCAGCCCACGGCGTGGTCCTGGACGCCCGGGATCGAGTCCCAAATCGGGTTCCCTGCATGGAGCCTAATTCTCCCTCTGCCTGTGTCTCTGCCTCTTTCTGTGTCTCTCATCAATAAATAAATACTAGGGAAAAAAAAGTTAAAGGGATGCCTGGGTGGCTCAGCGGTTAAGCGTCTGCTTTTGGCCCAGGGGCATGATCCTGGAGACCCAGGTGAGTGAAAGTGAGTACCGCACAGCAGGTAAGCACGCAGCCTGGAACCACACTGCCTGGCTTGGAGTCCCATTTAAAATGGTTTCTAGGGGATCCCTGGGTGGCGCAGCGGTTTGGCGCCTGCCTTTGGCCCAGGGGCGATCCTGGAGACCCAGGATCGAATCCCACGTCGGGCTCTCGGTGCATGGAGCCTGCTTCTCCCTCTGCCTGTGTCTCTGCCTCTCTCTCTCTCTCTCTCTGTGTGACTATCATAAATAAATCAATAAATTAAAAAAAAAATTAAAAAAAAATGGTTTCTACCCCATACGGATGATTGTGAAGAATAAATGTAAAACGGAGCCTGCTTCTGAACCCTCTGCCTGTGTCTCTGCCTCTCTCTCTCTCTCTCTGTGTGTCTCTCATGAATAAATAAATAAATAAAATCTTTTTTTAAAAAGTGTGCTGGATACATAGCATGTTCTACGTGTTAGCTAGTAGTTAGTAATATTAATTAACTGTGCACATATTACATTTTATTTATTTATTTTTTAAGTAGGCTCCATGCCCAGCGTGGAGCCCAATGCTCGGTTCACACTGACGACTGTGCGATCAAGACCTGAGCTGAGATCAAGAATTGGACACCGGGCAGCCCGGGTGGCTCAGCGGTTTAGCACCTGCCTTCGGCCCAGGGCGTGATCCTGGGGACCCGGGATCGAGTCCCGCATCGTGCTCCCTGCATGGAGCCTGCTTCTCCCTCTGCCTGGGTCTCTGCCTCTCTCTCTCTCTCTCTGTGTGTGTCTCTCATGAATAAATAAATAAAATCTTAAAAAAAACAAAGTTCAATGAACTTACTAAAACTTAATTTAGAAAATGAAACTAGGGGACAACTGCCTTTGGCGTTGTTTAGCACGTTCATCAAACTCAAACATTAAAACTACGACCGAGATGGAAGCCCGGGGCCGCACCGCGCGGGTCAGCTCTCCCGAGCCGCGGCCTAACGCCGCCGCCGCCTCCCCTGGGAGGGCGGGGACTACCCTCTACCTAGCGCGCGACCCGCCTCCCGCGTCCACTAGCCTCGGTCCGATCTATTTTCCGCCACAATCATGATTCCGAGCATTTTGTCAGCAGCATTTCTATGAACGATTTCTTGTTTCAAAAACGGAGGGTTTCAGCTTACCAGGGATTTCACCACCACCACCACCACCACCACCACCACAAAAAAAAAAATCACAATCTCACTTCCACTTCTCAATCCCCTTGCTCCGACTCGCTTCGCCCACCCCCCCACCCCACTCCCCCCCTTTTTTTTTTCCTACAAGTCCACGAAAACTTTCCCATAGGACCAACTGCACCATCTACCTGAAGTCGGCCCTCCCGGGTCACTATCCCGTTGGGGGGAGGGGAGGCGGGGAGGCAGGGGGGAGGCGGGGGGAGGCGGGGGGGGGGCAGACCTCGAGGGAGGCCGCGCCAGCCCCGCGGCGCGGCTGCGAACCTCCCGCAGTGCCCCCACCCGTCAACGAGAACCCGAGGTCCCACCTCTTCCTGCCGCTCCCTTCCCAGATGTCCATTTATGTAAATAGGCAGCGTGAATGACACCTTGGAACAGAATACCTCCGAGTGACAGGGAGAGGCGGCCCGCCCCTCCCCCAGCCCCACGCCCGCCTCTGCAGCCGCGAGCAATCCCCCCTGCACGCACCCTCCCAGCGCCCGCCGCCCCAAACCACAGACCTGCCTCCAGGGTTTCCAGGGGGGACGGCGGCGGCCCCGTCCCGGCAGGGGACAGGTGCTGGGGAGGCTTTTTGGTCCAGGGGTTCTCCTTAGGCGGCGGCGGCGGCGGCGGCGGCGGCGGCGGCGGCGGCTGCAGCTTTTCCTCCCGGCCGGCCGCCGCCTCCTCCTCCAGGGCGTCCTCCGCCCGCGGGGCCCTCGGTACGGGTGGCGGGGCTCCCCCGCCCGAGGGGCCCCCGGCGCCGCGCGCCTTGCGCGCCAGGTGCAAAGCCAGGGGTCGCACGGGCACGGCCGCCTGCGGCACGCTGCGCCCCAGCACCAGCGCCGGCGCCGGCGACGGCTCTCCCCGCGCCCCCGCGCTGATGGCTGTCGCGGCCTCCTTGCCCTCGCGTCCGGGCGCCGTTACCAACAGCGACTCCTTCTCGGCGGCCACCGCGGGGGGCTCCTCCCGGGGCTGAGCGGCGGGCACCGCCGACATGGTCCCCGGGCCCCAGCCGCCCCAGCCAGGGGGGGCCCGCGGCCAGGGAGCCCGACTGCCCGTCTCTCCGCCGGGGGACCGACCGGCTCCGGCCCGGGGCACAAAACCCAAAAGCCCGGCCGCCGCCGCCGCCGCCGCCACCGCCGTGCAGCGCCCGGCGTGCCGCCCCTCCCCGCGTGGAACGGAGCGCTAACCGCCCGCCGCCCCAGCCCGCCTCGCAGGCTCACGCTCCGAGCCAGCCAGCAAGCGCCGGGCGCCGCAGCCGGGAGCCGCGAGCCCTCACCTGGCGCAGGCAGCGGCGCAGGCGAGCGAGGCTCGAGCGAGGCGAGCGAGGCGAGCGAGGCGAGCAGGGGCCGGGAGACCTCTAGCGGAGCGCAGCGGGCGCGTGCCCGCACAGCCGGTAACTGCTCCCGGGGGCGGAGGCGGGGGGCGTGGAAGGGGCGGGCCCGGTGGGCGGGGCGAGCGCGTGGTGGGCGGGGCAGGGGGCGGGGCCTCCCGGGGCGGCGTGACGTGGCCGCTCCCCGGCTCCCGCCGTCGCCAGGCCGCCGCCCGCGCTGCCTGACTGACGAGCCCGCCCGGGTGCCGCCCGGCCTGAGGGCGCGGCCCGCCGAGGGGGAGGGAGGGAGGGCGAGCTGGACGAGTCGGCCGCTCGCGGGCCCCCGCCGCCGGGACTGCGGGAGCAGGGGCGGGGCGCGCACCGGGCCTCTGTGACTCGCGGCGCGGGGGCCGGGGCGGCCTACGCACGTGGCCCGGGCGGCGCGGGGCAGGTCGACCCCGGGTCGCGGCGGCCTCTGCCCGCGACCAGGCCGGGCCCCTGACCGCGCCGTTCCGTCCTTCTGTCGCCCGGTGAAAAAGTGCCCCCACCCCGAGGTTGGGGGGGGCCACCGCGATCACCGGTGATCCCGAGCCACGTCCAGGATGGAGATTGTGTAATCTGCAGGTAACTGTTTGTGAGACCTTTGCCCGGGCGGTCGGCTTAGGGCACTTCCCGCCCTCATTTCCACCCTCGAACCGAGACGTTTTTTTAAAGTGTTCCTGAGCGACACAGCTGGTTAATGTTTCGCCGACTTTGTGTTGCTGTTGTTGTGACCCGTCCCTTTAATTTGTAGAGATAACACTTGTTTACAAATTAACCATGTTTCCTAATTTTTTTTTTTTCTTTTTCCTGGAATGGATGTACGTTTAACAGGTGGCCCAGCGGTTTAGCGCCGCCTCTGGCCCAGGGCGTGACCCTGGAGACCGGGTATCGAGGCCTGCGTCGGGCTTCCTGCGTGGAGCCTGCTTCTCCCTCAGCCTGTGCCTCTGTGTCTCTCATGAATAAATAAATAAAATCTTAAAATTTTTTTAAATGAATAAAGGGTACAAAACTATGTTCTGATTAACTCCACTAAGAGCTTTCTACCTGGCACTGAAATTGAGTGAGTGAACATTGGTTTCATGGGCACGGATTTGTGACTAAGTAAATGTTGATGTCGCTGTGCAAGGTCTCAGAAAAGAGGTTTGACCCAGTGAAAATTTTTTCACCAGAGGGACACCCCCCCCACCCCACCCCCGCCACACACACAAAAAATCTGTATCCGCATTTGTATGCACCTGGCCAGGGGCCCTTTCTGGCTTCCTCTAGAGCTGCCTAAAGAGGCAGTAAGCTTGTACAGGACTCTTGTCCCAGGGGTCTCTCTCTTCAAACTCGAGATGGTTTTCATTTGCTCAAAAGTTGTACTAGGCATTTTTTTTTTTTAACCGTGTTCCTACTTGGGGATAAGTATTTCCTTTTTTTTTTTTTTTTTTTTTTTAAGATTTTATTTATTCGTGAGAGATACAGAGAGAGAGAGAAGAGGGAGAAGCAGGCTCCATGCAGGGAGCCCAGCACAGGACTTGATCCCAAGACTCCAGGATCATGCCCTGAGTGGAAAGCAGACGCCAAACCACTGAGCCACCCAGGGATCCCTAGGTCCCTAGGGATATATATATATTTTTATTTTCCCTAAGGTTAGCAACCTATTCATACATTACAAATTATAATAAGGCCTTTCTTGTTTTTCCGTATCACTGATTTCCAATTTATCTGACCCTAAGCAACCTTCAGAACCCAGGACCAGTTAAAGAAGCCCTGTCCTTACCTTTACTCCCAAGGAGGCATCATCTTTACTAGCTCCGTTATTGGTAAAGCTTTGTTTTGTTAACTATAAACTCGCTGCCCTTCAGGTTAAAATCAGCCTTTTGGAGTCCTGCCAGGTAATGCTTGTTCCATTTACAAAAGCTCAGCAACAAATTTGCGCTGGTTGTGACTCAGAGAACGCCTTCTATTTTACCATCTATTTAAATACGGATGAATTAAAGACTGATTCTCTTGAAGGAAAGGTTATGGATGGAATGGTTTTCCAAAGTTAGATTCATATGGGCTACCTAACCATGGTCCGTGGTTTCGTTTGTTGCTGTTTTGTTTTGTTTTGAAGTGAAGAACTGTAAAGATGCTTTATTGAAGAAATACAGGAGTTTCTTGGAAATAGGTTGTGCTTATAGGAAAAGAAGAACTGGAAGGCAAATGTGTACTCAGAAGGTCTCTAAAGAATTCAGTAGTTTGGGATGCCTGGGTGGCTCAGGTGGTTAAGCATCTGCCTTCCGCTCAGGTCATGAACCTGGGATTGAGCCCTGCATCAGGCTCTCTGCTCAGTGGGCAGTCTACTTCTCCCTCTTTTTCTCTCTTTCTCAAATAAATAATTTTTTTTTAATTCAACAGTTAGCATATGGTGATCATCACCATAGTGCAGTGCCACTAATGTCAGTAAGGGAATTGGCAATTTGTTGCCCCCCTTCTTTAAGATTTTATTTATTTTTTAATATTTATTTATTTATTCATGAGAGAGAGGGAGAGAGAGAGAGAGAGAGAGAGAGAGAGGCAGAGACACAGGCAGAGCGAGAAGTAGGCTCCCTGTAGTGATCCAGATGTGGAACTCGATCCCGGGCTGGGACTCCGGGATCACGCCCTGAGCCAAGCGCAGACGCTCAACCACTGAGCCACCCACATGTCCCAAAGATTTTATTTATTTATTTATTCATGAGAGACATAGTGGGAGAGAGGCAGAGACACAGACAGAGGGAGAAGCAGGCTCCCTGTTGGGAGCCAGATACGGAACTCGATCCCAGGGCCCCAGGATCACAACCTGAACCAAAGGCAGGTGCTCAACCACTGAGCCAATCAGATCCCCTGTTGCCCCTCTTTTAAACACATATTAATAACACATAACTGCCTCTTGGAAACAAGGTCACCTTTATCTTCTATTTGCCTTTCCACCCTTTTCCTGCTCTTGTGCTAGGCAGGGCTGACCTGTCCAGATTGCACCAAAGGATCCCCTCACAGTCCTTGATATTTCAATGGGTTCAGGCAGTAGGAAGTAATCTACCAAGAGATAGGAGGCCAGAAGGTAATGAGGTCATAGTCTATGTTCCCCAAGCTTGTGAATTTCATATTCACCCAAGATTAACTGCAGATACTCAATTAACCTCTCCAATTCTTACCTTTGTCCCTTCAGGCCTAGTAATAATTGCTAGTCCTTAGGATACTATATTATGGCCTGTTGGTTTCCCTGACTCTTGGGCTGCACCTCTGTAAGTCACTCTTTCAATAACTCTATTCGGATTATGCAGTTGAAGCTTTTCCTCTGATATTAAGATTTTATTTTTAAGTAATCTATACACCCAATGTGAGACTCAAACCTACAACCTCAAGATCAAGAGTCGCACACTCCACCAACAGCCAGCCAGGTGCCCCCATCCAATTTTTGATGGGACCTTGACCAACCTAATTTGCCATTGCTGAAACTCCATTATGTTAAATCATTTGGCCTCTGCTGCTAATTGTCACATTCTTCCTGTTTCTTAGTTCAAAATCAAGAAAGACTGGCTCAATTAATTTTTTGTAGCCAAATCATTTTCCATCTTCCTATGAATTATTTGCTCTTGAGTAGAGTGTCTGTCTAGCCTGGAGGAACAAGTTATTTGGTTCAAAACACTACCATCAAGGCAATGAGGGTAGGAGAACCAGTTAGTATGAATGTAAGAGAGGTACATCCTTTAACCAAGTTTTCTTTTTTTTTTTTTTTTTAAGATTTTATTTATTTATTTATTCATGAGAGACACAGAGAGAGAGGGAGGCAGAGACACAGGCAGAGGGAGAAGCAGGCTCCATGCAGGGAGCCCAACGTGGGACTGGATCCTGGGTCTCCAGAGTCAGGCCCCCAGCTGAAGGCAGCGCCAAACCACTGAGCCACCCGGACTGCCCTAACCAAGTTCTCTTAGTCTTTCCCTATCTTAGTGAATGGCACCACATTCCAGTCTGTGTAACCCAGGAGTCATCGTTTCATTTCCCCTTGCCCTCACTCTCCATAATTCATTCCTTTTCAAATGTTTCTCAAGCATCTGCCAGGCAGTGTTCTAGGCACTCACCAAGACCAGTACCTCCTGAGGGTCAAGTCCTGCTTCCCTCCCCCCCCACCACCATCCTACTGTCACACCCTCTTAATTGGCCTCTCTGCCTTCACTTAGATTTATTTGATAAAACTGTAGAGGTCACATGAAATACTACCTATAAAATGCTTATCAAAAACCTTGGCCCAGTGAAACTACCTATTTTTATTGCTTTTAAAATCACAGACTTAACCATAATAAATGACCTTAATTTTACTGAGCTACTGAGAAGCCTGGTTAGTTTATTTATTTATTTATTTATTTTAAGATTTTATTTATTCATGAGATCCACAGAGAGAGAGAGAGAGAGGCAGAGACACAGGCAGAGGGAGAAGCAGGCTCCATGCAGGGAGCCCGTTGTGGGAATCTATCTCGGGACTCCAGGATTAAGCCCTGGGCCAAAGGCAGGTGCTAAACCACTGAGTTACCCAGGGGTCTCCTATTTATTTATTTGTTTATTTATTTATTAATGGAAAACTGGTACATATAGGGTTATCTTTTCAAAGAAGAGAAACTGGTTCTCTGAACCCTAGAAATTATGAAACACTTAAATTATCCTTATACAAACTTGATGATCCTATTGTTCAAATGAACCTTTTAAAAGATGAATCTTGTTTTTCCTGTTTAGAGTATGCTTATATATTGTGAGATGATTGAACCTAGTCTTTCTCCCCCTCTGCCTGGTGTCCTAGGAAATTAAAGTCCCATGAGAACATCAGGATCTTTGTTATTATTACCAGTACAATTTAGGTTCAAGTTGGTAAAAACCCAATGTACAAATAGCTGTACTGTATGCTAGAGAAGTTTCAAAGAATGCATTAGATATAAATTATTTCAAAGTCCTTCAGTCCAAGGAGAAAATAAAACTGAACCCAGAGATTTATTTTAACGTCTTATAAAATAGCCACTTTTTAAAAGATTTTTTTTTTAAGATTTTATTCATTTATTTGAGAGAACAAGCAAGGGGGGAGGTGTTGGGGGAAGGAGCAGAGGGAAAGGAAGAAGCTGCAGGGAGCCAGATACAAGTCAGGGAGCCCAGTGGGCAGGGGGCTCATCCCAGGACTTTGAGATCATGACTGGACCCAAAGGCAGCCATTTAAATGACTGAGCCACCCAGGTACCCCCAAAAGATTGGTTTTTTTTAAAAAGATGTACTGAGCCATCCTTACCTCCAAGTTACAGAGCCTTGGGCCCTGTTTATCAGAATAATAACTTTCATTATGAGCTGAATGCTCAGATAAGTACTACCTACTTCCAGTTATCTTTAACCTTCAAGGCAGGGTCAATGCTACTGTGTATTTGAAAGGCTTTGCATCTTCTTTTCAGTAAATAAATTATCAATCTTAGATACTGTGAGAATAAAAGAGTCTTTAGAGATTTTTGCTCTATTTTTACTTAACTACAAATAAGTAAAAACACTGTGCTTGCTATGCAAACATAATTCAAAACAAATCTAGGCTACCTTGCAACCAA